CCCCTCTGTCTCCATTTCCTGTTCCTGTGTACCTGCAGCTCTGTTCAAGAGGCACAGCTGGATTTTGTGCTGCTCCTCAAAAGCAGATCCCAGTGCTGAGCCTGGCAGCAGGTGAATCCTGCCCAGCTCTCCAGTGACCTCCCCATTTTGGGAGATGCTTCAGAGCCCAGCCTACAGATCCTGTGTGTAAGCCCAGAGCATCCCTGACAGCCTTTTTCTCTTGTGCCTGAAATCCTGGCATAAACAGGAGCAGCTGTCAGAGAACATTCCTGCTCACTGTGACCAGCCCCACAGACTGCAAACTCCTGGGCCACATCCCACAAAACCCCCACTGATCCCAAATAACACAACCTGATTTTTCTTTGTGTCTCTTGGCTTTTCTGTTTTAGGCCCCTTTTCCTTGCTTAGCAGTAATTTTTGAAAATCACAAATACCATCTCACAGGTGAGGATATATCTGGGTGTTTCAGACCACCCTCAGGCTGCAGGAGAAGCAAAATGTGGGAATTTGTCACACAATGCCACCACACAGCCTGATGAGCTGCTGAGGAGCAAATCCCAAGGAAGGCAGGGATGGCACAGCACCTGCTGCAGTGTCACAGGGTTAAAAAGAACTGCTTTTAAGGATAAATAGGGTGGCAAGAGGTGCCAAAGTGATCTTCAGAAGAAGTACTTTTGAAAATTTGATTATATATATATTTAATATCAATACATCCTGAATTTACTTTATTCTTCCCCATTTGTAGCTGCTCTTACTTATTGTGTGTAGCTGGGTGCTGGGCTAAGACAGGACAGCTGGTGGGAGGGGGTCACTAATGTTCACTGGGTCTGAGGATGATGCAGGCAGCAAACAGAACATTTTCTTTTCCAGTTTCTCAGCCAGATGCCCTCAAACTCACCAGCTGGGCACAGATGTACATCCATGTTCATCTGTGTTTCCACTGCAGTTACTGTGAGGAAAAAAAAGGAAGTGGCATTATTTTTTTTTTTCCAAGATGGAATACAGAGTAAATATTTCAGAACTCCATAAATAAAAAAGATTGATCTGATCTTTTAAAAACATGTTCCCCTTTGGGCTCTGACTAAGTGTGAGAAAGTTCAGCCTGAGAAGAATTTATTTGGAAAAGCAGTGAAAGGTTAGAAGCAGGGATGTGGGCTGGAATATGCCTTGCAAATGTTAACTGTGGAGGCACAGTGCTAACGCCTTGCATGTGCAAAAACATTTGGAGGGTTGTGAATTTAAACCATGAAATTAATATCGTCAAAATTAAGGTTTTCTTGCCCACACCTTACTCATACAGGATATGGTGTTTGTAAAGTTCTGACAGGGATGGGAAGATGTGGAGGTGGTTTGCTGGTGTTAATTTATGGTTGAGGAAGAACCTTTAGCATCTCTGCTTCTTGATTAATTTGCAACATAAATGTTTCCCTAAAGTAAATTAACTTTTGAATTCTTTTACTTTTCTGGGGGGTAGCAGAGCAAAGCCCAGGAAGTTGCTTTGTTGTGCTCACTGCCACTTCCCCAGAGAAAAGTGTGATACAGTGAGTGCTGTGTGTGTGCACACCCACGTGCAGCCACCATGGTGACCTGTGAATCATTTACAGCTGCCTGATTCATTTTCCCAGTGCTCTTATTTAATAATTCTCCTGCTCCTTGGGGAAAACTGTAAAAATGGATTTTATTTTCCTAATGTGTTTGCATTTTAAGTAAGCAAAGTCTCTTTAGATTCCCATTTGCCAAACAAGATCTGCACATGTAAGTGACCAATGGGCTGAGACCAAGGATGATAAATTTCAGTGGAGGAGGAAGAATTAAGAAAATAATAAGAAATTTAGTTCAGGAATTTGCAGTGTGGACAAATTTTGAGTTTTAAATCCAAGGTAGTTATCCCAAGATATGGGGATAGTCAGGCTGGAGCTCAGGGCAAGGCTCTGCCCCCAGAGGGTGCTGGCACTGCCCAGGCTGCCCAGGGAATGGGCACGGCCCCGAGGCTGCCAGAGCTCCAGGAGCCTTTGGGCAGCGCTGCCAGGGGTGCCCAGGGTGGGGCTGCTGGGGGGGCTGGGCTGGGGGATCCTGTGGGTCCCTTCCAACCCAGAACATTTTGTAGTTCTGTGACCTGTCCTCTGTCTGAGGTGGGTGAAATTGGGAACAGCTCCTGGATATCCAGTGTGTTTCCATCCAAGTCCTAAAGATACACTCAGGAACAGGACACACACTGGAGGCTTTGATGTGCTGCAAGCCCTGCAGTTCCATAGCTCTGGAGAGGAGCAGTGTCTCTCTGGGTAGTTTTAATCAGAGATTTTACAAGAGGAGGCTTTCATGTTGTCTAAAATTCTGTGATCTTCAGATGATCTTATGTAGAAAATTGCTAATATTTCTTTCTCAATTCTTTCTCAGATTGCTGCCCAAATAGACCATCCTTACAGAAATCTGGATGTTAATATTTGGAAACAAATCTCTTAGAGTTCCTAGGCAGGAAAATTATAGAAAAATATATTTATTTCAATAAAAAGAGGATAAGAATTTTAGTAATCCCAGACTGTTCTGGTCATCCCTCAGTTTGTCCTCAAGATGCCAGGAGAGTTTTAGTGAAGGCAGAAATATATCCCTGGTGGTATCCAGTGAGTGATGCACTTTGCACCTTCCCATGTGGGTTGGAATTTAGCAATAGAAAAGGTGTGCAACAGCCATACCAGAGATTATTCCAAATTCTTCTTTCAGCCTGACCTTTTTCTGTTCAGCTGCTTGTTGGCATCTCAGCAGTGTTGAACCTGAATAGCAAACAAACCCATACACCTTCTGTATTTTAATTCTCAGTAGCTTCCCTCCTGAGGATCTTCCTAACCAGGAAGGCAGAGGAATCCAGGGATCACCTTCCTGACACCTTCTCCTTTCAGTCTAAGCAGGGTTGGTGTTCTTGATTGCCTCAGGTGATTCTGGGGAGCAGGGTCCTGCATCCCCCTGGCTTAATTTAATTTCATTTTGTTCATTAAGAGGTTTTATGGAGTCAAGATCTCTTCTTTAATGCTGCTCAGTCATTTAAGTAGCACTTCTTCTTTTCACTTTGGAAACCAGGCAGTGATAATCCATCTGAATTCCCATCTGGAAATCACAGTAAGAGCAGAATTTCTAGTCCTGGACAAATGAGTAGGAAAAAGTCAAGAGAGGTTTGCTTTTCTTTTATGAAACTCTCAGTGCTACATCATTTAATCCAAGCAGTTGTGAAATAGATGAATGGTGTGTTCCCAGCCAAGCCATTTTTACTCCAGAAGGGGCTTTAAAATAAAATTGTCTTTATTGTGTGTTATGCAGAACTCCACAGTGTGAGCTTAATGGACTTTTCCACTTGAGATGGAACTTCAGATCCTTATTGATAGGAAGATAAATCATTCCTCATTTACAGGTTGTGTAGGTTCAAGTAGACCTATTTTTTTAATTGTGCAAATTGAGGTAGTTCATTGCCAGATTGCTGGGAGTAACACCTTTAGACACTGATTAGACCATTCTTTGTCTTACCCTTATTCACACTTTGAATTTACAAGAAAAGAGCCCTGCCCTGCCCTGAAGTGACACCAGAATCAGGCAGGATCTGCTCATGTTGTGACCTTGTCTCATGTGTCTGAATTCTACCTTGGATCCTCAATATCCTACTCCATGATGCTGATTTGGGGGATAATTGTAAAATATTAATATTTTTTCTTTAAATGGCTGATACTTGCTGTCTGTTTGGATTCAACCTGAGCATACTTTTAATTGAGGGAGAGGGAAATTCTTTGATGTGTAACATCCTGAGAGTGTCTCTCAGCATTCAGTAAGTAGTGTCCAAAACACCTTTTCCCAAAAACATTTTAAAAATTAATAATAGAGTTTGTGACCATCAGACTATTCTGAACCAGGGTTCATTCTCTCAGAAATTGAACCAGGATATTCCCCTCTGTAGGGAAATTCCTGGTAGTCTGGCATCAAGTTTCCAAACCTGGTAGGATTACATCCAGGCCTGGATGCTGTGCATTGAAATCTCCATTGTGATCCATTCAGCTGACACATGGTTTCAATAAAGTATCACAGAATTTATAGATTCCTCTGGCCACCCACTTGAAAGCTTAAAAATTGCTGTGGGTAATTCAGCCCTGTAGCTGCTGACTGCACCTGCAGCAGCTTTTCTCAGGAGCTGGAATGGCCCTGGAATCCTTCATGGAGAAGGCAAGCACGAGCCTGTGGCTCCATGCCCTTCACCTGGCACGGGGCCCCTTCCAGCTGGAAGGTGAGCCAGCACCTTGCACCAATTTTTGGGTCATTTCAGGGGATTTGACCCCTCCCTGTGAGGGTTTGGGATTATTCCTGGCTTGGCAGCTTGCATCCCAAGGATGCCCTTGTGTGAAGCATGGCAAGCACAGTGTTAACCCAGTGTGTTCCTCATTGTCTCCTGTGTTCCTGACAGAGGCCAAATGTTTGTGGGAAGGAAGTAAATTATTGTCAACTGAGTGATCTTGGAATAGTTTGCCCACAGGGAATTTTTTTTTCCTTACCCCCATTTAGGATCTGGCTTGTGCCTTTGTGTGAGAGAATTTCTGTCCTTTCCAGAATTCTGGATTTTATTATTATTTAATCCTTACTAATGTAACTCTGGGTACTTTAATCCTCTTAAGGGTTTGCTGCTGACTTTGGGCTCAGTCCTGCTCCCTTTTCAGGGAATTTTGCCATTAGACACCTTTAAGTAGAGTTCTGATGTAAATTGAAGCTGATTTTACTGGCAGCTCTGTCCCTGGCTGTGAAATGCCTCTGTAAAGCTGTAACCTGTGTGCAAGGCACAGTTCCAGTGGGGAGGAGAGGGGGGTCTGTGCTCCTGCCTGCAGCCCTGACCCTGCCTCTCCTCACTGCCAGTCTGCAAGGAATCCTCAGAAGATGCCAAAGGCTCAGGGCAAAGGAATTGTCTGTGAGCCTGCGCGGGGAATGTTCTGCCAGCTTAGGAAGCCATAAATGTGTTCCTTTCCATCTAGGTGCCCCTCTGGCTGCGGAAAGGGAGAAGAAGCCTCTCTCCAGAGCTGTCTTTGTGCTGCCCTGGGTGGAATCCACAGAAACAAGTGAGGGTCCCAGATGTTTTGTTTTTTCCCTGATGTGTTGTAAGGAAGCATTAGCTGCACTCTGGGTCTTCCAGGGAGGCTGCTCAGGTGGAGTGTGCCCTGGACACAGCTTGGAGAGGTGTTTCCCCGTGGGAAGCATGCAGCATGGTCCTCAGAAAATGCCATCCTTTCCTGTTTCTGTGCATCAGGTGCATTAGTCATGGGGACTGGCTCTTCCTGAAGAGTGCTGGTGTTGCTCATGGTTCCTTCCAGTGAGGCAGATATCCCAGGAAAGGTGATGTTTTTTCCAGGTACTGCCACAGAGCCATTCCCCAGCTCCAGCCCTCTGGGTTTGTCATCAGCAGGACTTGAGCATCTGCCAGCAGATTTTCAGGAAACAAGGAATGTGAAACCAAGGATCAGAGCAAGTCATTGACTTGTGATCCACTGGCCAAAGCTGGAGGGATGATGCTGATCCTTTGTGGTCACTTAAACCCCACTCAGAAGGCCTTTTTGGGGCCAGCAACATCACAGCCTCAAAGACAGAAGCTGTGACATAAATGTAATGCAGCTGCAAGAAATCCAGCCCCTCCCCTTTAAGAGCTGCTCCTGGACTTTATGTTTGGGAAACCTTGTTTGTCAAGGTGAATGAGTTATGTGGAATTGTCATAGAATGTAGGATTTAGAATAGAATTCCTTATGGATTTAGATTTAGAATCCTTAGGATTCCTTTAGGATTTAGAATAGAATTCCTTGGGTGCTTCCTTTGCCATTCCCAAACCTGCTGGTGCAAAGGAGACGCCCTGCTCATGGAGCAGGACAAGCAGTGCTGTCCAGACTGCCCTCTTCTAATCTTCCTGCTTTTATCCTGACTGGGACCTGTAGCATTTCTGGATGTTAGGAAGAATTCATCAAGCTGTTGTGATCTGTTTACATTCAGCAGTTTTGCCCTTCCACATGTGGAGAATGTCCCTGCTAGACTGCTGTTCCTGCAGTGCTCTGCCAGAGGAGATCAATAGGATTCAGGGTGTCTGCAGGGTGCCAGTGCTGAGAGCTCCTCTATCAAGTACCTTTTGTGATTTCTGCCATTTGAAAGCTCTGGGTGAATTCTGGGCCAGGTGGAAATTGTTCTTCACCTTGGACAGGTCCTTGAGGAGCTCCTGCAGGTGCTGTGGGGAGAGCCCATGGTTTGGGACCCTGCATGGGCTGTGCTGGCAGGGATGCCAGCTGGGTGGGTGTTTCCAGTGTGGGTTCCTGGGATGCTGTGCAGAGCTCTTGGAGCCCAAAGGGCTCAGTGTGTACCCAGCTTTTGTGGTATTCCTGCACTTAGGAGGCTGATCTGTATTTCTAGCTGTATGCTTAGTGATACAGAGCTCCTGACCTTTCAACACATTTCTGATTGCTCTTATTCCCTTCCTGGATTTCTAAAGCAAAATCCACAGAGGCCAAGTGTCCTAAGGAAAGAAGTGTCTTGTTTTGGCTGCCACTGCTGGGCATGTGTTCTCTGCCTTCTCTTTCCTGCCAAAATGAAATATGTGCTTCCTTCTCTGGGGAATATGTGAATCAAACCAACAAAAATTCTTCAAATCTTGAATGCAGGGTCTGCTGGGAAGAGAGCTGAGCTCAGCCTTGGGGCAGGGAGTTCAGCCAGTCCCAGTGAGTGCTGGACACACCACCAGAGCCAGCTGGCAGCAGCTCCTGGAGATGGGAGAGAAGAGCAGCTCATTCTTTTATTGGGATCCACTTGCAAGCAGAGTGGTCAAAACTTCTTTCAGTCCCCTTGCAGTTATTTCTTGGGGTACTTGAAAAACCTGCTCATTTGGCATCTGAGTGTGCCAGTCCTTCACAGCTGAGGAGCTGCCTTGTAATGAGGCTGTGCCTTCCCTTTTCTACTGCCAGCAAGATAAGGTGCTCTATTTTGGCCTGTGTGTTAAAGATGAATTGTGAGCTGACTAAATAAGTACAGCTGGTACTCACTAGACCTCTCTCTGGAATCCCTGCTGCTGTTGAAAAGGCTCCTGAGCATGAAGGAGAATGATCCTTGAGTCTGGGTTTGAGCAGATGTTCTTAGGAGCATTTTGAAGGTCTGTGTTTGCAGCGGGGTCATTGCTCAGCTGGCAGCAAGGATTTGAATACCAGTAAGAACCAGCATGTTCTGGGGGCTGAGGAGTGTCCTTCCCTGCCCTAACAGTGCCTGCTGCTGTGGCTGTGCTTTGGGTGGAGCCTTAAGGTGCAGCCCCTGATGACAGCAGAGACTTTGAATCTGAGCAAACTTGCCTAGGTAGCATTGGCTGTCTGGATCCAGCTCTGCAGAGGTTTAAGGATGGTTTCAGTGTTGGTTTGCAGCCACACCTGAGCCCCTGAAGCCCCTTGCAGCTCTTCCCATGGCAAGCTGTGTTACAGGCACTGGATATTGTGCCCCAGCTGGACACCTTGGGGTAGGAGTTAGGAAAACTGCCCTGGAACAGCTTTCCTGTGAGCACAGCCTGGCAGAGCTCAAGAAGCATTTGGACAATGCTCTGAGATTGTTGGGGTGTCTGATCCTTGTGGGTCCCTTCCAGCCCAGGAGATCCTGTGATTCCAAGTGGTGCTGCAGGGAGTTCTGCCCAGGGAGGTTCTGGCTGGGAAAGCAGTGTCTGCTGGGTCAGTGCTGGGGGTGCTGGGAGGCTGTCAGCAGAGATGGCTGTACTGATGAGGAGGAGAAATCCTGGCTCTGGGGAGCAGCCTCAGCAGGGACTGCTGTTCAGAGAGGTAAAGCTTGGCTGCACATGGGCAGCTCTTTGGGAATTCTCTGTAAAGCTCCTGTCCCTGAGGCTGGGCACTGCTTGCTGGGTGTTCTGTCCCACAGAGCCCAGGAGATCAGTGCCAAGCTGGACCAGCTGGAACAAATTCTTGCTTCTCTGTAATCCCTGGAGATCCTTCTGCTGTGGGGACAATCCCCTAACAACAGCAGCAAACCCCTGTGCTCTGGGCTGTGCTGGTGGCACTTGTTACATGTTCCATGTTGTTACATGTTCCATGCTCCCTGCACTGCCAAGGGGAGAAGTGCCCATACCCAGCATGGGCTCTGCTGGGGACAGTAAGATCCCTGTGTGTGACAGGACCACAGGTAGCCATGCCTGGCCCTGTGAAATGGTGTGTTAGTTTTCTTCTGTTCTAACAAGTCTTGTTATTTACTGAGCTCCTTTCTTCCAAAGTAAGGTCATGATAGTTTTTGTTCTGTGAACGTGAAAGTGCCCGGTCTTTGGGACTGCTTTGGAGAGTTAATCTTCACTTGGTCCTGTAGAGCTCATTGCACTTCAAAAAGGAGGTTGGCTCCTTGGTTTGGGGACACCCATCGAGGTGGGACTGATGCCAAGTTAGGAGTTTCTCTGCTACTTGACTGTGCTAATTGTCTGGGGGGTTTTGCAACAGCTACACAGATACTCAGCAGCAATCATTGATCCTCTTCATTGTGGGAGAGGGCCCAGGGAAGAGGGAAGCCCTCAGCCCCGTTTTTTGACCACACAAGGAGCCTGCACAAGATCACATAATGGAACAGACACAGTTAAATGTGCCTTGCCAGTGCTTTTGCCACTGAAGTGTTCTTACAGGTGTGTTCTGCTGCTCCTCCTCCTCTCCCTCAAGCCATGCTGTCTGTGCAGAGAGTCCTTTTCTCCCTGCTTGTCCAACCTAGACTTCTAAAACCCCCTTAACTCTAGTTTAGCCCTGCTGTGCTCTGATTAAAATACAAATAGTTTTTAGTCACAAAGGTAAAGTTCCAGTGCCCAGGTGTTTAACACCATTTAGATTTGGCAGTTTTCTCTGCTAGATCATCATAGCTCCTCCAGTCACTCTGAATAAAGGGTGACAGTGATCCTTTATTTAGTGCTGAACCCCGAGGGCTGCTGGAATGAGCAGTGAGCCCAAGTGAGTGATTACACTGTACCAATATATCGTAGCTTAAAATAGGGAGTGGTTTTAAAAGTAAAGTGATGGAGAAGTAAAATGAGAGCTTACTTAATGTGCACAGTCTGGTGTGTTGGAGTACAGGATAGAAGAGGTAAAAACAAGGCTTTAACTTTGCTGCTAGTGGGAATACATGGACACAACTGCACTGCTGCAGGGGAGCTCCCTGAATGGCAGGTCCTCTGTGAGCCCTGGCAGCTGCTGCCTGCACTCCTTGCTTCTGCTGGGAAGGAAACACACAGGTTTCAGGATCCCTTGTGGCTGTACAAATGATGTGTTTCACTGTGTTTGCCATGGACTTTACAATGTTTGCCACTTTGCTGTGGGCTCATAGCACCAAGCCATGGGCCTGGGGTTGTCTGACAGGTGGGGTGAGTGCTCAGGAAAGGCACCCCAGGGTGTGTCAGGCAGCAGAGAGGGGAAACCCCACCAAGCTGGCCAGGAAATCCTGCTCATGCACGGATGTGGTAGCTGAGCTAAGGACACTGATCCTATTCAGAGCAAACCAGATCCATAAACACTTGGAGCTGTTTTACATCTGTCTGCCCCACACAGCTGTGGTGAGGGGTTGGTTGATGCTGGGATGAAATGATGGGGTGTAGGGAACAAATGGATATGAAACCAAGCTTCACCAAGCCCTTCTTACTGTCCTGCTTGCCTTGGGCTGTTGGGTCTCCTGGGTTTGTTGGTTCTGACAGATCCTGGGTGCAGCTGGGAATCAGTAAACAGTGAGAAGCAGGTGTGTGCTCATACATTGCTCTGTGCTTAGTTCTGCCCCTTTGTCCCCATCCTGACCAAGAGCTGATTCTCCCTGAACTTCCAAAGGAGATGCCAGCAGGGCCTGCTGCCCTGCATCCTCACTGCTGTGAGGTCTGTGGGGTCTGCCCTGGAGAGCAGAGCTGTGTGAAGAGGAAATAAATCAGAATATGGCCCAAGCCATATAGTGTGGGGCAGGGGGGAACAGTGTGAGGCAGTGGCTGGCTGTGTGCCTTAGAGACCCGACAGAGCACGTGGGATGTGTCAGTGCATAGGGGTGTCTGATTGACCAGTGTGATTACAGTGCTTTCCTTTCACCTCAGAGTTTCTAAACTGGTCTGTTTTCTTCTTCCTACAGACAATTTTAGGTACACGTGTGACATTTGTGGGAAAAAATATAAATACTATAGCTGCTTCCAAGAGCACAGAGACCTACATGCCGTGGATGGTGAGTAATGTTTTGACACTCAGACACCTGAACTAGGCTGAGAAGTCTTTGGGGAAGCAAAGTGTGGCTCTGCAGGAGCATGTGGCCTGTGCTGTGCAGGACATGGCACTGCAGGGGTCACCTCTCTTTGCCATGGAGGCTCAGTCTACAGGCATTGCAGGGAGGAGTTGCTGTGCCTGATTCTCTCTGTGTGCATAAAACAACACCTGTGCTGGGACCAGGACCTTGCAGTGTGTCTGCAGGGAGGTCCATGGTTAGGATGGAGAGCCTGGGACTGAGTACCTCAGGGTAAATGGTCAGCCTGATTATTTGCTGGGAAGAAGTTGGTTGCTTTTTGGTTTCTGAATTTACAGGATTGTTCCCAACATACTTCTCTGTGAAGCATTCCAGATTTCAGAGTTAGGAACTTTCATTTTTGTTTATGACTGTGGTAGTGAGCTGGTGAAGTTGTCAGTGGCCCTTAAAGGGTGACTGTAGATGTGGCCTAGGCTGGTGACACCTGGACAGAAGCAGACACCCACTGCCAGAAGCAGTGTTTCTTTATTCTGCATTGGGGAAAATGAAGTATCAACGTGCTGGCTTGCCCCCTGCTTACTGAACATCTAAAGCTCCTCACCTGGGAGCCCACAGATACTCCAGACCTTCCCTGTGTGTGCTGCAAGCCTGGCAGTACTGCTCCTCACTTGGCCAAGGAGAGTTCTAGAAGGAGGCTGCTGGAGAGCAGCAGGTTCTGAATGGCTGGGCTGTCTCAGAAAAGCAAGTGTTTTTTCACAATACATGATTGATTGTCCAAGAAAAGGCTTATGTTTACCTGGAAAGTGTGGACATCTGAATGTGCTCTAAGGACAGCCAGTGTTCTCCTGCAGGGCACCACTGCCAGCTCCCTTCCTCCTGTGGGGAACCAGAAGAAAATTAGTGGCACTGGCAGTCAGTGTGAGGGGAATGTGACTGCCTCGGTCAGAAATGTCTCAGGGAGCTCTGCCAGGGGCCACAAGAGAGCTTGGGAAGGGCTCCATGAGTGTGCAAGGACTGTCCCAGCTCCTCCCTGGGGCTGCTGTGCACCTGAACTCCACCTGGGGCTGCGTCAGGGTCAGAACAAAGGCCTTGAGCATCTGTGTGAATTAGGGCTGGGCATGCTCAACCAGGTCCTGTGAGGATGCTGCTGGGAACAGGAGGGACTGGGGCACAAAGCCTGGTTTGTTCAGTGGGGCTCAAATGTGCTGCAGCAGTGTGTGAATTGCAGGAGGAAAACAAGACCATTTAAGAGGATTTAATTTCTGTTTTGTTTCTTCCCCTCCTTCTTCTATTCTGTGTTAGTTTTTAGTGTGGAAGGGGCCCCAGAAAACCGGGCAGGTAAGCCGAGCTCCTTTGTGTGCTTTATTTCACAAACCTTTTCAAGCATTCAGTAGTTCAGACACAGCAGGTTGATTCTGAACTGGTTAGAGTCAAAGGAGTTTTGTCAGGGATTGCAGTGGCACAGGGAGCATCCTCTCTCCCTCCCCAGTGTCTACAGCCAGTAGGTTGATGCCCAGCCCTAGCAGATACCAGGCTTTTGTTGTACATTCACTTGGTCAGGCTTCAGACAAGCAAAGAAGCAGGTGTTTCATGTCTGTGGTGATCTTGTAAATTGTTCAAGGCATACACCAAATTCCTCTCTAAGGTGGGTTGGGTTGTGATTTGTTGCTAGCTGTGCTGTTACCTGGTAGAAGTCCCAGGTTGGTATTTGGTAGGTGATGTGCCTGCAGACTGCATTGCTGTGCCTGCTGTCAGCCAGTTCAGCAGCATTAGAGGGGAGATTCCCTGGAAGACAATCAGGAAATATGGATCAGACTTTGCAATGTGTTCATTCAGTTTTTCTCTGCATTTTTTAAGCATTAATTCCTACAAGGCCTGTTAGTGGGCTGGGAGCAGGGGTAATCCTGGGGCACCTGAGGCAGAGGAGGAGGGACAGGTCAGACAGAGGGTCACTGGTTTATCATTCCTGTTTTCCAGTCCTGTTACAGATGGAAATGTGATTACAGGTGCAGGAGCATTCAGTGCCCATGCAGCTGTAGAAGGCAAAGCTGAGGTGTTGTCAGCTGTCCTGTGGCTCTGTTCTCTTGCAGACCCCTACGACCAGGCCGTCATCGCCGCCGACGAGGTGAAGGAGGAGGAGCCCGAACCCTTCCAGAAGATTGGGCCAAGTAAGAGTTATTATTGTGTCAAATAAAAAGGAGAGCTCAGGGGTTCACTGCCTTTGGCTGCAGCACCTCCAGAGAAAGCAGGAAGCACTGTTACACAGCAGGGTTGGGGTTTGCGTGCTCACAGGTGTGTTCAGCCTCAAAGGAGCATCAAACACCAACAGCCCTGGCCCTAAGAACTGCAGCTGTGTGATGTGCTCTGCTCAAGAGCTCTGCAAAGAGAAGGGGAGGGGAGTTCAGGGAGAAAAAATCTGGCAGGGATGAGAGAGGGCTTGAAGGTGCACTGAGAGCTGGCAGGTGATTCATTCTCACTGTCTTTGTGGTGGGTCCCCAAACAGAGCAGAGAGAAACAGAGAGAACACCAGGTTTTGCCAAAGCATTTCCCTGCATTTTCCGTTTTGGAAACATTTGATTATCCATGGATTTTCCTTCATCTTGCAGCTTGCTGCCGGTTCTGTACTCCCAGCACTGGCAAGAGGAGGAAGTGTCAGTGTGTGGTTACACTCCATTATTTCCAGTATCCCCAAAGCAGGGATGAGCACATTACTCCAGAAGAGCCCCTTCTCCTGCAAGAGAGCTCCACAATCCCAAATAAAAGTTCTCTAATACTTGTACCTGTTTGTTTCCTGGTTTGACTGTTCCTGTTGTCCACACATCCCAGACCTTCTGTAACCAGGGGACAGAACTGTGTCACCTGTAATACAGACTTTAGAACTGGATTTTCTCCCTTGTTTTGCACACTTACTTGTTGTAATTTTGGGGTAATCTTCTGAAGCTTTTTCAGTTCTACTGGCCTTTTTGTGCATGGTCCATCCCTCTGTTTTGAACTGTTTCCTTTCTTGGGAAAAGGATGTGTGGATTACAGGGCAGGCAAGTTCCACATGCAGGAGGAATGTTTGTGTGACTGACCAGTTTCTCTGTAAAAAGAAACTGGGAGTTGTGTAAGAGGCCTGGCCTCCTTCCTGACCTTTGTCCTTGTTCCTTTTACAGAAACTGGCAATTACACCTGTGAGTTCTGTGGCAAGCAGTACAAGTACTACACTCCCTACCAAGAGCACGTGGCTCTGCACGCCCCCATCAGTGAGTATTGCTGCAGGGCTGCCCCTCCACAGGCTGGCACCTCAGGGCACTGGGCAGCACCAGGCTGCCAGGACAGGGCTGCCCCTCTGCAGGCTGGCACCCCAGGGCACTGGGCAGCACCAGGCACTGTAAAGCTGAGCTGGGATCTCCTCTCACAGGGACACTGTTAGGTCTGGAATGTCTCTGGGCTCCTACCCCAGCCCATGGAATTCTACACATGTTCCTTGTGGGGTTGATGGTTTTGGCTCTTTTTTAACTGAAGAGATGCACATCATTTTTATACTCCCCTAAATAATAAATGAACATACATGTTAGAGAAGAAGCATCTTTCTATGAGATTCTGGGGAATTACTTCAAGCAGTGAGATAAAACTGGTTTCAAAATCACTTAAATGACCTCAGCAGCTTGCTACTGAATCACATTCAATAAATGATTTATTTCAGGGAGCTCAGGACAAGGCAGTTGTCAGCAAACTGCACAGCACTGTGGTCTGCACTCCCCACACAGAGGGGAGGAGGCTTTAGCAAGCAGTTCAGTGTAATTCAGTGCAAAATTTGACTAAACATGTTGAGAGAAATTTTTGCTACCTGCTGGATTTGAATACTTTCAAAGTCTGCAGAGAAGTTCTTTACAGCTGAACTTCCTGCTCCCTTCCCAGCGCTGCCCTGAGCTTTGCTGGGTGCCCGGGCTGTGCTGCTCCAGGGTTTGGGGTGATGGAGAGGAGGATGAGGGATGGGATGAGGGACGAGCCGAGCTCAGCAGCTGCAGCCGGCAGGGGGCGCGTCCGCCCCAAAATCCCCGGGATTCGGGTTTTTAAGGGATTCTAGTGAGGTACCCTTGGCTTTATGGGAACATGCTCCACCCGACTGTCGCTTTCAAGCGTTGGTGGCTCTTGACAGGTGCCAAGCAGGTTCTCTTGGATATGGACCATGGTAGAAGGTGCAGGGCATCAAATACATCAACATCACAAAGCTAATCTTGTTATTTGCCATCTGCTGAAGGACCTGCCCCATTGCTTCTGATTGCACACATTGCAGTTATTCTGTGGTTGCCTGCCCATGCAAGCTCCACCTCTTCACTGAGGTGTTGTCAGCCCTCAGGCTGCAAACATTGCTGAGGAGCAGTGGGTCCATGTGCTGCCACAGCAGGGCTCTGGGGTCTCTGTGCCCTGCAGAGAGCTCAGGAGCAGGGTGCAGTGAGCACTGGGCTTTGCTCAGCTCTAGCTCATCCTTACCTTCCCAGTGCTTCCCACTTCAAGGTGATTTATTGCCACTGATGTCTTCACCTTCCCAACCAGCCGTAGTAATAGCTGAGCTGCTGGTTCCAGCCCAGGCTCTCCAGGATAAAAGAAACCCCAGCTGTGTTTCCCTGGGGTCCCTACAGTTCCAGTGGCTCCCCAAGGCTCTGCCCGAGTTCTGGAGGAGGAGGCATGTTCTGAGTGCTGGGCTTGAGGCCATTCTTGCACCATCATTTCTGCAGCAAAAGAAAAGAAACTGCCCCTGCTGCAGGCTAGTTCAGCAGCCCCTGAGCTGTGCAGGTGGGTTTCCAGTCCTTTCAAGTATCTTTAGCTATGAGGACACTCAAGATCAGTATTTTCATAAACTTTTCTTTTTCCTTTTTTTTTAACCTCTTTTTTCCTCTCCTAGTTCCCATGACCAGTAAGATTTATGATTTACAGTGACAAGCCACTAACCCTGATGAGGATATAGGAGAGGGCATGATGAGCTCCCAAGGCCAGTGCAACTCACACATTTCTGCTGCCCAGACTGTTCCTCCCAAAATCCAAGGTCCTGGGGGCAGCTGTTAACACCTGACTTTTGGAAAGCACAGCTGGCTCTTCTTGAGTCCTTGCAGTCAGATTAACTAAAGCTGAGACTGTGTCTTTACCCTGGTCTCATTCTTCTGGTATAAGGCAAATGCTGAAAATTCAGTCACAGTGGGACTGGTGAGGAAAGCCCTTCAGCATCAGCAGTTCAGCTGTCTGGGTCTCTGCTGGAGTGCAAGCTTCCCTTCCAGAGCCCGTGTTTCTGGTTTTCTGTCATAATGAATGGAAAGTCATTGAAAATGGGTAAAAGAAAGAATTATATCCTGCAGCTTCTATAGCATCTTGCAGGATAATTTCTGGTCAGAGCTGCTGGATAGCTGCTGTCTGGAAAAGAGCTCTGCTGTGGGCTTCCCTGGAATTGTTAATGCCAAATGTCTCCTTCCAAAGTTCCCTTTTCTGAGTGAGGAGTAGGGGCTTTTTCATAAGATCAGAACTGGGCTATGACTCTTTAAAAATAATACTCTTATGCTCTTTCTGTCAACATATTCACTCTTTCGAAGAAGGCTGTCAGAGGCTGTTTCCAAAAAATAAAAGTGGATTTTAGGCACATTCATTGTCCCAGTTTTAGAAACATTTCTGAATGGAGATTCATGGGGAAGGGTTCAGAGATGTTCCTGTCCTCCTTCAGGCTCTGGCTGCTCTGTTAGATTGAGCTGATGGAACCATGTTTGCTGGGGCTGGGCTGTTGGGATTGTTTAGAAGGATGGAGAGAGACTGTTCAGGGCATGAAGTGGCAGAACAAGGGAAATGGCTTCACACTGTTATAGGACGGGGTTGGATGGGATTTTGCGAAGAAATTCTGAGTATCCAGTTAGGAATTGGGTGGGCAGGCCCTGGCACAGGGTGCCCAGAGCAGCTGGGGCTGCCCCTGCATCCCTGGCAGTGCCCAAGGCCAGGCTGGGCAGGGCTGGGAGCACCTGGGACAGTGGGAGGTGTCCCTGCCATGGCAGGGGGGTTGACAAGGGGATCTTTCAGGTCCATTCCAACCCAAAACAATCTGGCATTCTGTGACTCTGTGATGAGTTTGCAGTGCAGAGGGAACCTGGGGCACCTGGGATGTGAACTGGCTGTGAATGCCCCAGGAGTGGGATTGAGCTTGGTGAGTCGGGCTCAGGAGTGTGCACTCACCTGGAGCCTGCAGATGGAGCCTCAGACTCCTGGGTCATGGAAGTGTGGGGAGAGAGCCCTAAAACCAGCACAGCCCTCCATGGCTCTGCTTCCAGCATGGAAATCTAATGTCAGGACCCTGAAAGTACTCAGAGCTCTACAAGGCCCTGAGCAGCCCCACAAGGGGCTGTGCCCACAGCCACACTCCTGCTCCAGCCCAGCTCTGAGCCACACACGCTCCTGAGCTGCTCTGTAGAAGTTGGTCTCAGTTTAGCTGTGAACGTGCCCATGCCTGGCTGTGGGTCCCATGGGTTTGTACCCAACCCACAACTGCATTCCTACCTTGATGTCAACCCTGTCTGGGCACCCTGGACCTCGCTGGGATCACTGGTCCTGCTTAACCTCAGCAGAGCTGATCCTGCTGCTGGCCTGTGGATTGACTTGTCTCATTGCCATGAACTCCCCTGTGACCTTCATGATGGAAGCTGGCTGTCACCTCTGGGCCTTGTTCCCTCCTCTCAGGGTCTGTGGGATGGCCCTTTCCATACCTGGGATCATTCTTGGCTCTCCAGGGGACAGACAGACCTACACCCACCCTGACACCTGAGATGCTCAAGGAAGTTCACCAAGGCTTGCTGCTCAGCTCCTTTCTGGAGCTTTGGATGCACACTGGATACAGTTTATTCCTCCAAAGTGCTTAAAAGCAGTGTTTCATTGAGGCAGCTGCCATTTTGGTAGCACAGCTGCTTTCCACACAGACCCTGCCTAGCCAGGGAAAAAACAGCTCCAGATTCCAGTTGGATGGTGTGTCTTTGCTTCCACCAGTTGAGTGAGGGAAATCTGTGAGTTCAGGTGCTTTTCCCAGTCTGATCCCACAGTGTTTTAGCAACAGGCTCCACCTGTTCATGTGTATAAAGACACACATTAAAAATTTGATAGGTTTGAGCAGAGGGGTTTTCCTGTGGAGAGACCTGTTTGCCATAGCCAAGGTGTTTGCTCAGAGTATGGAATTTCAGGCCATTGTTAAGGAATCATTTTCCAACACGTTCAGTACAGTCAGTTTTTTCTCCATAGGTGATGATATAATTCCATCTGAACCTTCAAAATGGTTCCCTACCCATCCTGGCTAGATCTTTCTAAACAAACACCATACACAAATTATTAACCAGAATTTTTACCTGGAAAAAGTCATGTTGCTGAGACAATCTGGTCCCTGTTGTGGGGGTGCATTGTGATCGTGTGTGGATTTGTGTGCCAGATTTTCTCCTTGCTGCCACAGCTTGTCAATCACAGAACTTTAAGGTCTTCCCAAAACCAGAAAAGCCAGGAAGGACCACTGTGATCTCTGGACTGCCTGGAGAAGCACATTCTGTAGGATTGCCATGATTGAATTGCACAAAGATATGCTTTAGAGAGACATCTAATCTTGCTTTTGAGTGACAGAAAATGCAGCAATCACATAAGGTAATTATTTTGATGAATTATTGCCTCCACTAAATTAAGACTAAAATTAGCCAGCTGTAGCTTTGAGCACTGTCCTATTTATAACCTTGTGTGCTCAGTGAAGAAGGACTAAGTTACTGAGCTTCTGTCCTTTCCAGACCTGGCCTAGCCTGCTCTCCAGACCCAGGTTAAATCACAGGAGTTGTGTTTCCATTGTAAGTTCTGCTGTTCTTGGCCCTTGGTCATCCTTTTGTCTCCTCCTCTGAGTTCTCCAGTCTGTTCTCCACCCTTGGGCAGGGCAGGCACCAGCCCTGGCTCAGGAAGGATCTGAGAGCTGGCACTGCCTTCCTGATCCCCTTGGAAATTCCTGATTGCTCCCCCAGGAGCACCTCAGCCTCTTCAGCATCCCCCTGGGAGCTCCTCTGCAGCCAAGCACAGCAGTGACCCAGTGTCCTCAGGCTTTCCCCAGTGTCCTCAGCACCTCCTGCACCAGCTGTGTCCTTCAGCACAGGCTGGGCCACGCTGCAGGGCTGCAGCACAAAGCTGTGACCCAGACCCTGCAGGGAGAATCACCCTCCACATCTCTGCAGCTCCCACTGGGGCTGGTCTGCTGCCTTCTGAGAGGGTCTGAAAAGCTCCACAGCAGCAGTTATGAGGTCAGCTCCCATGGTGCTGTCCCCAGTCTTGCTGCAGATTTTGAGGCAGGAGGTTTTTGTGGCCATTCAGCAACTCAGGATTTTCATTTTTAGAAACATCTTGGCCTTTTCATCAGCCTGAGGCCGTGAGTTCCACAGTGAAGGTGACTTTTCCAGAGCAGAGCAGAGGAGCCATGTGATGCTCTCTACCTGTGTTGCTCAGCCTTCAGAAGGAATTTGGCATCTGATGAAATACAGACTGAACATTTTATTCCCAATGAACTGTGAGCTTCCTCCAGACTGCTAGAACTGATATTCCCTTGTCTTGCATTGCTGCTCAAAACTTTCTCTGCCTAGTGTCAGCTGAAGCAGCCTTCTCTGTGGGCTCTCAGTTTGAAGACATACTGTTTGTTTCAATTGGGAGGAAGAAGACATTTTGGAGGTCATCATAGCATTGAGATTTTTGTTGTCACATCCCAGGGCAGTATCTGGGCTGCAGAGGATGTGCAGTGATGCTCTCTGTGTCTGGCACTGAAGAGTTGCTGATGGCTGTTTCTCGTGGCATGGATGGGAAGTAAAGCAGACATTGGTGGGAATGATCCTCATGGAAAGCAGACAATCCACAAGCTGGAAATTTTCATATCTGGCTACATTTTTGCTGGCAGTTTGGCAGCAGCTGGAGGAGGATTATCCATGGAGAGTGAAAGGAAGCATAGAGAGCAAAACAAGCCTTCTGCCTATTTGTCTGTCTGGAGACCAAGCAGAGAAGTATCCTGACTAAACTGAGAAAACCAGTGCATAATTTCCTGCAGAACTACCCTGACATGTGAGGAAATGTCAGCTTGGGGCTGTGTGTCAGAGCAAGTGAATCAAAACCCCTGGAACTGCAATGCCCTGTGAATGTACACACTCCCAGTCCCCAGTGCTGCTGCTGAAGGGGAGAGCCAGTCACAGCCAAGGTCTGTGAAGTCTCCTGGGATTCTGGAAAAATGAGTGTCCCATCCCAGCCTAGGGGACTTCTCCCCTGTTTTGGAGTTAGGCTGTGGTGCTGCCATGGCATTCCCCTGAGAGCTGCTCAGTGTGGATGAGTATTTCTCACTCACACTGGGTAGGATGTGCAGGTGCTGCTGTTGTCCCTCCACCTTTAGGCATCCCACAGAATCACTGTAGAAATCACTGGCAGGGAGCTGGGACTGTGGGTTGGTTGAACCTTCTTTGTTAGTGATTTTTCATGACAGGTGGTTGGAGTGGGGTTGGTGCTTCAGGACTCATATCCAAATTTCCATAGAAAAGGCCCCTTATGAGTGAAGGGGCTTCTTAGACAGTTTCTCCATTTTTGTAATGGTTTATTTAATCCATGTGGCCCAGACAAAGGGCTGTCCTCCTGGAGGTGTTTCAGATGACTTTTGGCATTGACAATTCCTGGTGATCCTCACTGTGTGCTGCAGAGACCAAAATATCGATGCATTCAAAGAGCATACCCCAGTAATGTTCAAAATTTCTTCACATGTCACCAGTCTGGAGATGGGACCAAAAGCCTTTACTCACTCTGCCTCCTAATTCCATTCCATCCCATTCCATTCCCACCAGTGCCCTTTCTTTTGTATTTGGTCAAAGAGACAAGGAATGTTGCTGGAGATCACTAGGATTTATTCGAGGCTCAAGAAACAAAGCTTGTCCCTGCTCAGAGATCTGAGTACTTTAGAAACCTGTTCCCAAAACTCAGTCCATAGAAATGGAGGCCAGAGCTTCAGGTGCCCCCAGCCAGGCCGTGGCAATCACACAGTGCTCCTGGATGGATGGGGTGATTCCTGCAGGAGCAGGAATGGGTTGGTCCTGTGGCACTTAGAGGTGTGCAGGGGAACAAAGGAGCTTCCCCAGGGGCAGCCCAGCTCTGCCCAGGGGCTCGGTGCATCAGCAGCTCCAGCAGGCCCCGCTCTGGGAGCTCCCTGGCTGTGCAGGCACTAGTTCTGAGTGTTCATATCCAGAGTTCTCTCGATCTCCACTCTTCGTGGCAGTGAAGACACAGACGAGCCAGTCCAGCAAAAAGTCCCCGGCGTCCATAAACCGCTGCTCCAGCCTCCTGCACCGCGCGCCCTCCGGCGTCCCGCCCGCCTCCCAGGCCCAGATGTTCCGCGCTCCCAACTCCGCATCCCCAGGAAGCAAGGCCATCACAGGTACCAGCTGCCCTTCAGCCTGCTCAGCTCCTCACTGGCCTGCCATTTCACCCTTCCTGGCCTCAGTCTGCTCCATCCATGGCTGGCCCACAGAAGCTGCTCCCAGGAGCAGTTGATCCTTTATAATCCCTTCCCAGTGACAAGTTGTTTTGTTAAACATCGTGGTAACCACAAGGTGCAAAAGACCCTGTTTCAAATCCTGGTGTCACAAACTGAGAAGAGCTTCCTGACAGGGATTGGTGTAATGGCTTGTCAGGAATGGGGATTTTTGCTTGGTTTTCAGCACTGTTTGGCATTTAGTGTTTGTTTTTCTCAGGGCTTGGTCTGTGCCTTTGGAAGTGCAATGGAGTACAGGTGTTTTCACAGTGCTCCATTCCCCATAAGAACCTCAGAGATAAACAGAAAAATCAGTATTACAGAACCATTACTGAGGAGTTAGAAAATGCAAGTTAGGGTTGATCCTCTCACTGTCTCAATTTCCTCCTTCCAAAAAAGATCAAGCCTAAAAAAAAAGTAGAAGAAAGAAAGCAAAGACTACTGAAAAATAACAGTTAATAAATAGGGTGTGAAACATAGTGTGCCATGTGCAGTCCACTGTGGGATTGATGGGTAGAGATCCCATCTGGGTGCAGAAGAAGGGCTGGTCAGTCAGTTGGTGTTTAAACACCCCTAGAATGTCTGGCATGGACAGATGCTGAGTATGAGAGCATCTGAGAGGTGGCTGTGGTGAGAGAGACCATGGATGCTGAACAAGGATGGGTTTTGTTGGATAACACATACCCACAGCTGCCAAGGACTTGGTCCATACAGAGAATTTTACTTCACTTTCAAAAGGTTCCAATAGAAGGAGAGAGAACAGAGTGAGCTGCCCTCTCAGTGTGGGAGGGGGACAGTAGGACCAAGCAGGTGCATTAAACCAGATTTTTCTTGCTGCCAGACCTGGGGGAAGTTTTGGGGGGGAAGCTAAGGGATGAAGGCAAAACCACCATGCAAATTCTTTACAAAGGTTTTTGGAGATCTGCACCTCACTTCCACTTGTGACATAAGCCAGGACTTGAACCTGGGTCTCTTGGGAGGGGTGGGTTGACCCAAACCATTTTGTCACTGTCTGATTTTCTGTTATTTAAGGCCTCTTGTTTCTATTATTTATCTATCAAGTGCCTAGGTAGATAATGTTTCCAGTTCCTTTTCAGCCCTGTTTGATGTGTTTCTGTTTCAGTTGATTTGGTTCCCAAGTTTGCTTGTTCTCCTGAATTTTGAGAGTCAGGAGTGTAGTTGATTGAGAGTTTGAGAAGCCTGCTCAGGACTTGGAAGGGTCCACTGAGGACTGGCTGGGCCAAAATCCATGGGCTGGGCTCTTCCTTCACTTCAGGTCTCTGGTAGCCCCAAAGTCCCCGTGTGTGAGCCACCTCAGCCCTGGGAGCTGCAGGAACCCGGGGCCTCTGACAAGTCCTGACAGCAGTTCTGACCACTCCAGTGGTCTGCAGGAATAAAATCATGGTGTGGCAGCACTTTTCAGGAGTCCCCATCACTCCTGAGTGAAAGAATTGTGTCCCCAGCCCTGCCCAGTCTGCAGGCTGTGCCCAGCAGAGCCAGGCCAGGCCCTGTGAAACCCTTGGGTGACAGTGGGCTCCAGAATGAGAGTGCAGGCCAAGGGCCTGAGCAGCAAAGCACATACACATTGCTCTGGCCAGTTCATTTTTGTTTAATCTCTAGCTTATCCTTTGAGCCACCACAGCAAATCCATTTGCCTGGGTATTGCAGGCCCAGTGAAGTGAGACAGGACCTCCTTGCACTGTTGAGCTGGTGCTGAGGGACAGCAGCTTGAGCAGGGTGGGAACCCTGAGCTGTGCTGTTCAGGGATGATTCAGGGATGATTCAGGGCTTGTGGCCACTGCCAGGGGCAGGAAGCACCTGGGTGCCCTGGAAGAGCCTCCCAGTGCAGTCACTGGGACCTGCCCTGTGCTGTGGCTGGAGAGGGCCCTGACAGGAGCTCAGGGGGGCTCAGGGAACACAAGGGCACTGTTGGGAAGCCCAGAGCCAGAGGATCTTCCACAGCTTTTCCAGACATGGTGGGCAGGCCCTGAGACAACCCTTCAGGCCTCTGCTTCAGCATTTCCAGGAGGGTGTTTAGGGAGTGCAGGTGGCTGGGAAGCACAGGGAAAGCTGGCACAGGGCTTCTGTAGGTGACACTTTGGTGTGGTGTGAGGCCCCAAGCTCAGTCTCAGACTGGTCACAGGAGTTAAGGGCTGCTTGTTGCCTTAAGGAACAGTAAGATAAGGGTTGGGTTTTTTTTCAGGACCTTTCTGGTTCAGTCAGGACTGGTGTTCATGGGCTCCCTAAGAGCCAATCCAGGCCCCTCAGCCAGAAGGCATTCAAGAAAAATCCCCACCTGTTATCCCTTCACTGAATCTGGCTCATTTGCCTCCAAAATGAGGTATTTGACCTTTGTGCTGTACTCAGGGTCTGTGATTGTGTGGCACAGGAGCATGTCTTGCCTCCTGTCTGCCTGGTTCTGCATCAGTGTTGACCAGTCACCATTCCTGCTTTGTTCTCCACCCAGCAGAAAGTGCTTTCAGCAGAAGAGTGGAAGGCAAAGTGCAAAACAACTTTGAAGAAACAAACAGCAATTCCCAGAACTCCAGTGGTAAGTGTGGTCACCCTTTCCTGCTGCTTCCATGTTCCTCTCCAAGCAGGACCCAGCTGTGTCAGTGGATGTGGATGTATTGTGGGGTACCTTGTTTAGGCTCACAGGCAGCCAGCCCTCCTGGGGTAGTGCCTTATCCTCCCTCCTCCCCAGGCTCCTGGCACCCCAGCCCTGGCACACAGGCCATGGGGGATTCCTGCTGCCAAGGACCAGGCACTTGAGCATAGATTTTTCAGAGGGGAGCCAAGATGTGGAAAAAGGATGGATGGAGATCAAGCAGCACTTGTGCTGTGTCTATCAGTGCAGTCCTGCTGGAGCAAAGCCATTTGCAAGCAGCAGAAGTTTGAGGACTGTGGATAGAAGAGCAGTTTGCAGGTTACAGTGATGCTGAGCATGACAGTTTATTTAAATGTCGCTGTAACCAAAGTCCAGCTGTTTCTGCAGTCACTGTGGAGGTCACAGTGAATCAGATGTGAGACCAAAATATGTGTGCTAGAAGAAATGAAATTCCCCTCCACTTGTGCAGTTTCCTTGCAGTGTTAAGTCCATGTGGTAGTAACGGAACATAACCAGTGGCCTAGACAATTTTGTTCAGATCCACCACCTACAGAGTTTTCTGTGCAAGGTTTTTATCCTGCCTGTGTATTGCCCAGCCTTCCAGTGGGCCACTACCATTCTCCTAACTGGAGCAAAAGTGACAGACCAGATGAAACATCAATTTAGCATCTTGCTGCAGAGATCAATAACATGGCAGCAGAAAAGCCTGGCCTCCCTCCATTCCCCATCCAAGAGAAGCAGAATATGTGGGGCTGGCAATGGTGGGATATCTCCCTGGAGCAGGTCACACAGTGTCTGTTGGGGGTTAGACCTGCCTCAGAAACAAGTCAGGGGCTTTCTGGAGCCATGTTGAAAAGCAGGGATGTGGTGTTGGAAAACCCATGTGTGGTAGCAGGGTGGGTGGTGGGAAATGGGGAAAAAGGTTGTTTGTTGCTAAAATACTGTGTGTTGTGTTTTGGGGGAAAATCCTGTACTAATCCATCATTCACCACAATTGCAGCTGGTCATTCGGGGACAGAGAAACCTAAAGAAAAGAGGTGTAAGCAGAACCCATCAGGTGAGCTTGTCTCTGTTTCAGGCCCTTAGCCCTGGTCCTGCTGGACACTCAGAGTCCTTGGGGCTGCCCAGGCCCTGGTCAGTAAGCCCAGCCTGGCTGGCAGACATGACTCAGGGCAGTGCAGGCTCTGAGTTGCAGAGTTCCCAGCCTGGCTGCAGCTCTGGACGTGGCCCTGGCCTCTCAGCAGCTCCTGTCTTGTCTTCTGGGGGTGCTGTCAGTGTTTGAAGGGTTTCAAAGCCTTTAAAGTGCACATCTGTAAATGCCAACACACCACTTGGGGCCCTGACTCCTCAGGAGCCATTGGAAAGTAGCAGCCTGAGATTGTACCTATTTTATTCCTGTCAAACCTTGTACAGCCAACAGAGGAAGGGCAGAAATATCTTCCTTCCCATCAGACAGCTCATTCCTGAAGCCAAGAAAGCTGCATTGCAAACCTGCTGGCTGCTCTTGTCAAGTTTTGCAGGAGGGGGGATGAACCTGCCCAGGAGGCACTGACAAGAAACACAAACAGTGGCTGTGCTGAACAGTGCAGACCTTCAGTTCTTCCTGAACTATTAAATACTGACCCACTGTTGCTGTGACACATCTCCCAAACTCTCCCTGCCTTCTCCTTGTACCAGCTCACATCACACTTATCCTCCTCAATCTGTTTCTTTCTGGACTGCAACATTTAAAGCACATGAGTGAAAGTTCACAGCAAAAACCAAAACAAAACCAGAAATTCTTACAAGTTGAATAGCAAGTTTCATGTGATTTGCTCATCTTGTTTCCCTGTAAGGAGTGTTTCTGTCTGCACCATGTGTAGTGTCAGTTTATTTTAGTGGCTCAGTCGAGGGCCTGGCAGGCTGCAGAGGGGTTGCAAGGCACTCACCTGGACCTTTGATTGAGCAGGAAACCTGAGGAACTCCAGTGAGCTGCCCAGGACTGCTCTGAGGGCAGCTGGGCTCTGGTGGAAGTAGTTGCTTTCTGCATTAAGGAGCTGACATGCTCCTGAAAGCCAGGCTGGTGCATGGGGATGTATAAACATTTCCCTTTTTCCTTCCTTTATCTGTCCTGCATCCTCTTTTCTTCCCCAGCCATGTTTTCCCCCTTTGGCTCAGTTTTTGTGCTGCTTCCCATTCAGTGCTCTTTTCCAGCCCTTGCACCACCAAGCCATTTTCCTCTTATTCCTTCCAGTTCTCAGGAGTCCCAGTGGCCTCACTGACAGCAGCCTGGGTGAGCACCACCAGTCACCCTGTGTGTGCCTGGTGGTCAGAGAGGCCTGGAGGGCTCAGTGTGCTCAGCTGTCCAGGCAGAGCTCCCTGCAGCTGCCTTTTGGAAGGAAGAGCTGCCATGTCCTTGCCTCCTCCTTTTCCTTCTTCCCATGGCTGTGTCTCAGTGGGTGTGACAAACCCCGTGGGGCTCAGTGTCACACGTGGGATGGGAGCTCTGGGGTGATTCTGGCACCGTTGGCTTGTCCTCTCTTTGCTCCAGCCAGCAGATTCCTCCCAGGCAGGGAAGCAGGTGGTGGTAATGTGGTGGGCAATGACAGAAGGATGGACACTTCTGTCCTCCCACTCCCATCTGCTGTTTGCTTGTCACCAAACTGCTGCTGTAAGGAACAGTCACCAGGTTTGGGAGGTAAATGTAGGTCCCAGCTGAGCAGCCAAGAGCTGTGGGGCTTGGCCTTGTTAAATGCCTGATGGCTCTTGTTCTCTGTGTGTGTGAGCTTTGTGTCACAGGCTTGGATACAGAGATACCAGAGAGATTTTTAGGACACCCATCTGGGGACATTCTGCTTTTTCCCTGTGCCACCATTCTGACTGCAGTGGCACAGATCCCTTGGTGTGTGGAGTGAGGGGCAGGACAAGGAGAACAGGGAGGTCAGTAACTAAAACCACCTAAAATACTCAGGGGTGCAATGCTGTAGGGAGTCCTGGGTGGGAATAGGAATGGAAAATGTTGGATTTCAGATGTCACTTCCCTGTGCACACAACCCCAGTCCTTGTCACAGTGAGTGCAGGCACCTGGCACCCTTACAGTGTGAGCTGGCATTGGCTGCCCATAAAGCAGAGCTCTGAGCTGGTGCAAACTCTGCTTTGGGCCTGAGGTGAGTCCCAGCTCTGTCTCCCAGCAGGGTGGGCTGGAGGCAGGGACTGGGGAAGGTCTTGAGCTGTCATCCATGTTATGATTGGAGAGTGCTCTTTGTGCTCATGGAAAGGGCCTCCACAGCCACTTGAACTTGCTTTTTGATGAAACCTGAAAGATCCACAGTGCTTCAAAAATAGCATCCTGCTGAAGTGTTCCAATTGCTCCCTTTGCAGCCTGGGGAGCAGCAGAGTCCCAAGTCACACAGAGCTTCTGTTCATTCACTGCTGAGCTGAGGGAGGCCAGAAAGCAGTGCCATGACCTGATCCTGAAGCATGGAATTGGCTCACTGGGATGAACAGCAAAAGCTGTTATTCCTTAGGGTGCCATAAAGCTGCTTTCAAGGGAACCCTCCCTGATGAGGGCCATTCTGCCAACTTTTGGCACATGCTGGGGTTTTACATTCTCAAGAGACCAAACAATATTTCAAGGCCAGCTTGTGCAATGTAAAAGGCAGTGATGATCAGCCTGGGCATGGGCAGGGAAACCCCCAGGAAGGGGCTGAGCTGAGTGTTGTGTCCACAGTGAAATCACTGCCTTCCTTTCCATCCATGTGTGGTTGAGAGGAGCCTTGGCTGGGGCTGGGCCCTGCTCTGGTGCCCTCGGTCACCTCAGGGCTCCCAGACAGGGACCTTCTTCAGGGACAAGAACCATCTCTAACTCAAGTGTGCACAGCCTAATGCAGCTTGAGCCCTTGTTTGGGGCATGTGGATGACTCCTTTGTGAAATAAAGGCTGAGAGGGATTAAGGGAATTGTGAGAATCCAAGAAGTAAAAGAAAAGCAAAAAAGGAGAAAAAAAACTCTTTAGTTTCAACACCTTCAAATACAGCCATCAAAGGGGAAATCTAATTGAAATTGTCAGTGTTTGTTGAAGTCTGAATTTGCTCAATGTTGCAGGTGTGAAAGAGAACAGTTAAAATTATGTAGGGAATTGGGAAATATTTTGAACTTTCAAGGTTGATTTAAGCTGTATAAATATGTCTTAATTTCATCTGCCGCTTTAGGGAACTACCATTGTAAGAACCTCCAGTGCAACAAATTTTAGCATTTAGAGTTTTTAAAATGTCAACACTTTTCATTCCTATTTGCACAGGGAAGCTTTGCTTTCCAACACTGTTTATTCCAGACTGGGGAGAGGGTCAATGGAAATGTCTTCTTTTTTTGAAGCAGTTTGTGCCAAGCTGAGATCAATGTTGAGACCAGAAAGATATGATTTTCTGCATTTGATATAGAGTTAAAATTCTTGGAAAAGCCTGAAAATCTCCTGTTGTCAGGACTAGATTTTAAACATGAATTTCAGAAACCACTTTCTTCCCTGGTGTGGCCATACATCCCCTTCTGCTCAGCCCCTGTGGTCCAGCCATTGCCCAGCCCATCTGTGGGGGGTTCTGCTGCAAAGACAGCACTTCTAGGATGGCATTTTTGGTGGGTGAGTGCAGCTTTAGTGTTTGGGGCATAATCATTCTTGATTACTGATTGCAGTGTGACATTAGCACAGCCAGCCCTCGTGCCTCTGCCTCCTGAGGTGCACCCAGCTGCCTCTAGGCTCTGTCAGCACAAATACAACTTCCATTAACATTCATCTGGCAGTTCTCTTCCTCATCTGTGGTTGGTTTGTGGCTGCTGCATGTCTCCATGGAGCTGGGAGAGCCAAATCTGAGGAGTGAGGAAAGGGGAAGGGGGAGTTTTCTGTGAGCTTCAGTCTGTGCACAGCACAGGCAGTGCTGGTGATGGGGTGGTACAATTGCACAAATAGCCAGAGCTGCATTCTCACAGCAGCCTGAGGTGCTGTGCCCAGAAGGAGGGGCAGGAGCTGAGTGCAGTTCCCAGCAGGAGAATGAGAGTCACACAGGGAGGGTTCAGCTGAGAAAGTGTCACTTTGCTTGGTTGCATAAATAAGTCACTGTGTCCACTGGGCATTTGTGTGGAATTGAGGTTTCTAGGAATGAACTGTTTATTTCTGGTGCCACATTCATTTAAGCTGTTCCAGACTTCTCATGTTCAACAGGCAGTTTGCAGACAGGAAGAAATATATCTGGGTTAAAAGAAGCACTCAGCAGCCAGCCTCTGTGGGTGATATCCTGCCAATTGCTCCAGAGCCCTGGGACGTGGGGAGGAGCTGAGGCAATGCCTGTGAAAGCACTGAGGCAAGGAGCACTCAGCAGAACTGGGACCCAGCCAGGGCCAGGGCTGAGGATTGCAGTCTGCAGGCACAGGTACTGGGCTGGGGCTGGGCAGGGCCAGGACAGTCCCTGGGAGAGCAAAGTGTGGGCAGGAAATCCTGAACTCTCATTTGGCCTGGAGAATCTGTGCAGGGAAAGGCTACAAAGCCCCAGTGCAGGTGATTTATCATTAATCAGTCACACTCTGGCGTTTCTATGGCTGTTACCTGGATAGGTAGCTTTAGTGGAAGTGATTGTGCTGTAGCAGGGATCTGGCAATGCATGGATAAAAAAATTGTCCAATTATAAATATGAAGACCAGAAAAATCCTAAGAGTCTTCCTTCACATACACCAGTGTTGTATTGAGTACCTGAGGTGCTGTTCCATACTGACAGTGCTCTCCATGTGAGTAGGAAGCCAAGCAGAACAAGGACACTGTGTCAGCACTTGTGGCTGGAGAGCAGCCGGAGGTGGTGCTGAGAATTCCTTGGGCTGCTTTGAGTGCTCTGTGCCCCTGCTGGGCTCTGTGCCTGCTCCAGGTCAGCTTCTCCTCTGGGGACAGTGAAGCTGGGGGTTGTCCCTCAAAGGCTGAGGGGCTGCTGCAGGAGCCCTGCAGTGCCTGGAACCCCAGGCAGTGCCATGGGCACAGCGTGTGCCCTGAGGGAGCAGGGCACCTCCAGGGCAGGGAGCCAGCACAGAGAGGAGGGTGCCTGGGGGAGCCTGCCCTGCTCAGCTACCAGCAGGACCAGGTTTGGGACCTGTTTCAGTGAAGATCTTGCCCCAGGTGCAGAGCTCAGGAGCTGCTGGAGCCCTGCAGGCTGAGCACAGAGTGTGCAGTGATCATTCCCTGTGAGCTGGTGTCCCCCATGCATCCCAGTCATGTCTCTGCCCAGCATCATCCATGCCTTCATCTCCATTCCTTAGGGGCTGGCCCTGCCACCTGGAGCCCTTTCCAGCAGCTCAGGTGATGTTTAGGTGATGTTGTGATCCCCTCAGCATCAGGGGATGTTTAGCAGGAAGGCTCACTGTGCTTGACCCATGCAGTTCCTGAGGGTGGTGTTCCTTCCAAGGAAACCAGGCCAGGTGTGTCAGAGAGCCCTGAGAGCCTCAGTCAGGGATGTGCCAGCTCACAGCCTTGGACTGGGACCCTTCTGGAAATGCTCTGGCTCTGTGACTGAATATTTAACATTAGTAATTAATGATTCCCGCCCCTCTGCAAGGGTCTGACCCTAAAGGACCTCACCTGGGGACTGTAGGAAAGCACACATGGTCTGAGGTGCTGGGATCACAGCTTCTGCTCCAGGGCACTGGGGCTGGATGCAGACAAACCCTGGTTGCTCAGGGGGCAGCCAGCACCCAGCTTTCAGTCACACTTTACAGAAAGGCAGCCTGCAAGGTGTGCTGCATAGGGAATGTGCATTCTCAGCCTGAAGTAACTGCACAGCTTAGGAACTCTCCTTTGGTATCCAGGGAAAGTGAAACATCCTGGTTTTCCCTGCCAGCTTTAGTTTAAAGAAGCTGCATGTTGAAAGTGGGAATTTGCATCTGGAGCACCAAAGAAAGACTTTGTAAAGGGTTTCTTGCCCCATGGCTTTTCTTTGCTGGCCTCTCCCCTTGTTTCCATTGCTGTAGCATTGAGTGTGTGTTAAAATCTCTGGACATTTTAAATTGGACAGGAAAGATGCAGAACCCTGGCCATGAGAAATTGGGCAAGGGAGAGAAAATGGACATGTTGGACTTGTTGGATTTTGTGTTGAATGGAGCTCCCATCCTGCCCTGCCCTGGATAACTCTGGAAGTGTGGAGTAGGGATAAGGAGCAGGGAGCAGATGGGCAGAGCTGTGTAGAATGCAGTCTCTGCCAGTCTCAATATTTAAATCTCTTTCTTTTTTGCAGAAACCGCAAGTCCCCTGATTTCAAATCCTTTCCCGCTTTTACGAAGTAAGTGTGATGGATGTCTGTGGTGCAAGAGGCAGGGACTGCCCTCCTGCAGCCCTGCTGCCCTGCCCTCTGAGCAATTTTCATTAATAAATGCTTTTTTATTATGAGTCCAGGTGTCAGAGAATAAAATGCCTCACTTCTGTAGCTCTGATGTCAGATTTAAATGCAACAGAAATCCTCCAGGGTGTTTCTGTGCAGTCTGGGGCTGCCAAATCACTTCATGTTCAGTCTTCAGGGAGTTTTTTGTGAGCGTGTTTTGAGGTCAAGATTTGAAAATGGCCCCATATTTGAGTTACATTTGCACACAGAAAAACTTGTGGTGAGGGCTCAGCTCAGTAAAGTTCCTGTGGCCTGGCATTGGACCCTGGGAGTGAGCAGGGCTGGGATGGGTGGACAGGGGTGTCTGCTGCAGATTCTGCCCTGTGGCCTTGATGTTTCAGCAGGTGGAGCTTCTTCCCTTGCCTTGCAGTGTGTTTGGTTGCTGGCACTGGCTTTGGGGTGATTTGTGCCAGCCTGGTGGTGTGGGCCAGCCCTGAGTGCCACACCCTGAGGAGGAGGATGCTGTTCTTCCTCCTCTTACAAACCTGAGAGAGAAGCAAGGGCTTTATTGAGAACATGAGTTCATGCAGGAAGAGAAATCCCATTAATGCCCAGATATTTGACAAGGGTGGTGAATTTGGGACTCCTCTTTTGCAAGCATACTCCAGAGCACCTTGTTACCTCTTGCTGTTTGAGCTGGCTGGAAATGACAGAAGGTCTGTTTTCAAGAAACTTCCACTGATTTTGGGGTGTGCTGGTGTTCTTGTAGGAGCCTGCTGCTGGTTCTCCTGCCTTGTCTCATGGGTTTGTGTCAAAGGGAAGGTGCAATTCACTGCTAGTAAAGCTAAAGCCAATGGAAACATTGGGTGGAAACGCTGAGAAGTTTTCCTCACAGTTGTTCTGCATTTGTTTTTCACCAAGATGTGGACAGAAGTGTTGAAATGTGGGTTTTCAGTGCTGAGGGAAGAGCAGCCGTGGTGACACCCTGCTGGGTCTCTGTCACTGCACAAGCACCTCAGGGCACTTGCTGAAACTTTCTGTTAAAGCTCTCAACTCCTGCTCACTCCTGGCTTCAGACCAGGCTCTGCTGTTTTCCCTGGCTTAGATGTGGCAGTGAGAGTTAACATGGCAATTAGAGTGATTTATTTAACCCAAGCACAGGCACTGCTTTTGCTCTGCCTTGCCTCACACAGCTGGGGCCTTGCTCACTGGGTAAAGCACTGCTAAAAGGCTCTAATTATAGCCTTGGGGAAAGATGTTTTAAATTGTGCAGCCAGATGTGAGTGTCAGTTCTGTGTGGCTCAGGACACTGAAGAGGTTTAACAGCTGCTGGTTGAAACTGCTCCCAGAAAACCCCTCCACAAGCACAGGGGGCTTCCCTTGTGCCACCAGCAGCTGGGAGCAGAAGGACAGAGGGCAAAAGGGGAGAGCTGGGGCCCTTTGCTGAGCTCAGCAAAGGGAGGGCAGATCCCTAAGGCTGAGTAAGGAAGAGCTGAAATTCCCAGGGGAAGGACAAGCAGAGGGCCAGCAGTGGTGGGAGAGAAGGAGAATGGGGCACAGCTGTGGCTCAGATGGGTGTGCAAAGCAGTTTGGACAACTTTTCCAGTTCATGGTCAAGAGAAATCAAAGGGAGGAGGATTGACTGGATTAGCAGCCCAGGTGAGCAGACTTTTCCCTGGTTTGGGATACAGATTGCCTCTTTCTTCTCTCCACCTTCCAGATCCCTCTTGCTCTTGTAGCCCTGGCACATCCCACCCTCCCTGCAGCCAGCCTGACTGTTCCAGCTCTGCATCTGGAGCATGAGGGGCTCAGAGAGCTCTGGGAAGTGAAGTGAGTTCATTCATTGCCCTGAGGATTCTGCACATCCTCCCAGCATCTCTTCCCCTGCTCCCAGGAAATACTTTGGAATTGTTGGGTGAATTTAAATGTTATGCTTATTTTTAATGTAGCTCAGTTTTATTTGTGGTAAACTTAGACTTCTGTATGTCTTTGTGTCAGAATTATTTAGAAAATGCTTTGGCATTTTCAGAATATGACATTAGCTTTTGAAATAGGTGGTGATTTTGTTTCCAAATTTGGACATTTCTGGAGTAGAACAGAAGGGGTATCTTTTGGAACTGAGATGAAAATCAACACAATTTTTCTGAGAAGAATCACAAATGAGAGATTTTACCAGTTCACTGGGTAGCCAGAGATTTGTGGTGCCAAAGGGAGGAGTTTGAGATGAAGAGCTGTGGAGACCTTGGTGGTCACAGCCTACTGGATTGTGGTGGTTTGACAGGAAATATGTTTTCTGAGATGCTGTAGTTAGGCTAGTGAGTGCTCAGATTTTAATATTGGCACTTGGTTTTGCAGATGGGAGAACCCAGAAGAGACTGGGCAGGGGTGAGGGGGAGCCAGGCAAGGAGAGAGCTAGAATGATATCTCAGGTTTGTGCTGATACAATACCTGAGAATACAGCAGGATGGAGGTGAAGCAGCTCAGGGAGACAAAGTGAGCTGAGAAGGAAATGTGAGTGCAGCAGGAGAGCAAAATGAGTGTGGGAGACGTGCAGCTTGGAGAGTGCTGGCTGATGGGGGTTTGCCTGCTGCTGGGGCTGTGACTGAGCTGAGCTGTGCTGGATTCTGCTCCCAGGGCAGCTGGGGCTGTGTGGGCACAGAAGGGCCCTGGCCCTGCCCTGCCTCCCCTCTGCACTGCAGGCAGGGGGGCAGCAGGGAGAGCAGTGAGTGCTGAGGTGTCCATGGCACAGGAGAGCTGCCAGTGCCCAGGGGACCGTGGGGTGACACCTGGGCTGGCAGCACTGACGGGTACAGCAGGGCCTGCTCTGCCCTCTGCTGAGGGGCAGGGAGAGAGGGGCACACAGCCAGGGGCCTGTCAGCAGCAGGCAGCAGGCTCTCACAATGTGGCTGCTTTCATTGAAATATTCACAGGTTAATTTTGACCCTTGGGCCCCCTGGGTTTGAGGCATTCCCATCTGAGCAGTGTGGGCTCCGTGAGCAGCACAGGCACACAGGTGTGTCTGTAACACAGCTCTTTGGCATTGAAATACAAGCCCAAGAGGGATGGTTTGCACCCACAGGGAGCCTTCTCCTCTCTGACAATTAAAAACAAGTGGAAACAATTGGATTGCATTGTACCTCTTGTGGCACTGTACCACAACTGCCTCACTGCTGATGATGTCAGCAGACACAGCCAGTCCCTGCTAATTCCCAAGGACTGAAATCCCCATGTGCCACTCAGTTGTTCAAATCTTCTCTTTTTTCCACAAGCACAGTTACTAAGTACCAAATTTCCAAACTTCCATGCTGCAGCAAGCCCAGGAGCAGCATCACAAGCAGACACAGTGTGTTAAAGCATTGAGCACAACTCCAGGCAGAGCTGGCTCCATCATTCCAGAGGCTCTGGGTTCTCACAGCATAAAAGTACAGCTTATCAGACTTGCTCATGCTCTCTTTTATGTTTTTCCTCATGGATTCCTATAGCCTTTAGGTGAATTCTGGGGTTTTCTCTCTGAGACAGACTTCCCACAAGCTATAGGCAGCCTTGTGCTTCCCTGGCTTTTGGTTCTTCTGTCCTGGGTGCTGGTACTTCTGCTTATTCATTGATTCAGAATGTGTTTTTCTCTTCAAACTCAGATCTAGACTCCTGAAATATTGTAGCAATAGACTCTGCTCCATGTGTGTGCCTAGCATTTGTATCCACAATTGTTCATATGCCACATGTGTGTCCATTCTGCTGCTCTGGGACAAAATGCCCCAGTGAGAGATGGCAGTGCTGCTGTGGCTGCAGGGACAGAGGCAAACTGCCTTGTTCCCAAATTGCAGCACTGTAGTTTGGGATCACATCTGTCAACCAATGCACTCTACTGATGCTGTTTAGACAGGCAACTGCAAACATTTGCTTTTAGGTTAATTCAGTGGAAGAAATGCACTTTCAACATAGAACAGGGTTAAATGCATCTTCCAGCTCACCAGGGAGCTCTGCACCCAGCTCTTTCCTCACTCCAGCTCGTCCATATTGCTCTGGCACATGGCTCTCCTGCTCTGCTCTCAGCCTTCGGGCACAGGCCTGGTTCCTGTGCTCCTGCCCTCCACCTCTGCTTCCCTGGCATCCTGCTGCCACCCAGTCCCTGGTGTCACTGCACTTGGTGACAGCCACAGAGCCCCAGCTGAGTTCCCCCATGGCACTGCTCCACCCCCAGCCTCTGACTGCAGCATTTGTCACAGCCCAGTGCTCCTTGTCTCACTCAGGACAGGCAGCAGACACTGGAGTGGACAGAACTGGATGGAAGATGAGCCCAGCAGGCTTTACTCCCAGCACAAAGCAGCAGGGACACGCTCAAGGCAGGCTGCAGCAGCCTGGGCCAGCACGCCCTGGCCAGTGGGCAGCCTCCAGGAGAAACCTGTGCAGGACCCTGAGATGCCCACCATGGCCCCAGGGGCTTCCTGTAGTGCCCTGCCCGTGCCCTGGCAGTGAAGTGCAGCAGGAGGAGCTGCCCAGCCCAGCCCAGCCCAGCCGTGCCCGGGCCCTGCCCCGCTCGCTGTGCCCACAGCTTACACACTGAGGTATGCACCTGTGCTGCTTCCTGCAGACTCTGTGTAATTCTTCTGAACTGATTTCTCCCAAACAGAGCCTTACACCTGTGGAGCTTGTGGAATCCAGTTCCAGTTTTATAACAATCTCCTGGAGCACATGCAGTCCCACGCAGGTAAGCTGGGCACTTGGACTCGCTGCAAGCAGAGAATAAATTCTGTGCTGCTGCCTGGTGCTGACCCCAATGTGTGTCTGTAGGGCTCTCAGTGCTCCCCATTCCCACAGCCCCCTCATTTCACTGCAACAAACACAGTCATCCCTCAAAGGCTGGAGCAGAGGCTCAGGGTCTGTTGTACATTTTGCTCCTTTCCATAGGGACAGAGGGAGTGTGCCACACTAGCTCAGAGTCCATCACTGCTCATTGCCTTTATCCAGAGCCAATAGAGAATCCTCACTGTGTAACCTCCTCCAGCAGGTTAAATCCCCCTCATGCCAAAGGGGAGGCTCTCATGGAGCAGGGCAGCAGAGCCTTTGCCCACACAAGTCCTGTCCTGTGCCTGTGTCTCCTGGAGTTCTGCAAAGGACTGAGATGTGTTCTCAGAAGAAGAATTTGCCATTTCAGCAGCTGTGTTCAGTTCCCTCTCAGCTACCTACAAATGAGAATTCTTAAGAGTCATTCCAGTGCTTTGTTTCTAAGTCACTGCTTTTGTTTCCTGTCTTGATACATAAGAGATGATTTTAAAATTTCAAAGCCAAACCTGTTTCAAAGACAGCACTCAGCATATTCAAACATGTAGAAACAGAATTCATTTTATATTGGCAGATTTATTTTCTTTTTTTTTCCCTCTTGAATTCAATTGAACTAACATGGTTATAAGAACAATTAAATCCTTTGACAGACCTGTGTTCTCCAACAGCTGCTCTGTTGGGATGTAGATGCAGGCCCTGAAGAAAGTGGCATGGGAGGACAAGAGGCTTGAGGAAAAGCATATTTTCCTTACTGTAATAATGTTAATCAAAGTTCTTATCTTGCTCTTTATTTTAGTTTTAGTTCTAATTTTCATAGTGTCACTTGAGTTCTTCATCCATGAGGTTCCTCTATTCCATCTTAGTTCCTGCTGGCAAATCTTAGTGCAGGCTTTGTGTGTTGTTCAGCAGCTACTTTATTTATCATTTGTGTGATTTACACGAGGCTTTGTGAGCAGAAGGTGTGAGTTTGTGTTTCTGGTAGAGCACTGGGGTTCTGTGCAGTACTGGGACTCTGTGTTCCCTGAGGAGCAGTGGGCTCTGCTCAGGGCAGGGCTGCCCTCACTCCTGCCTGTGCCTCTGTCCTTGCTGTCCATGGCAGTTCTGCTGCCTCCACACTGTTCTGACCATCCTGTTCTTGCTCTGGGCTCTGGCACTGAGATGGAGCATGTGGAGTCACAGCTCTGGGTGACACCGAGCACAGGAGGGGACAGGGGCAGCTCACTGAGGGCTGAGCTGTTGCACATTTTAAGCTGGTGCTACCTGCAGCTTCCTCCTTGTCTCTTCTTTACAAGTGACACATGGGGGTGGTGCTGAGGGCTCCCTGTGAGGGTGGGCAGGCCCTGGCACAGGGTGCCCAGAGCAGCTGTGGCTGCCCCTGGATCCCTGGCAGTGCCCAAGGCCAGGCTGGACAGGGCTGGGAGCAGCCTGGGACAGTGGGAGGTGTCCCTGCCATGGCAGGGCTGGCACTGGATGGGCTTTGAGGTTCCTTCCACCCAAACCAGTCTGGGATCCTGTGGTTGTTCACCTGGGCTACTCTGGCCACAGAACAGGGTGGAGGGAGCAGTATCTGTGATAGGTTCCTGTCACATCACAGCTCTGAATGGGTAAATCCCCTCTGCCTAGCTCAGAATTCTCTTTGTAAACTCTGTTTTCTCCTTGCTCCCTGCTCTGTTTGCAAGTCCCCTCCTGTGCCTGGCTCCTCCTGCTGAAGTCTCACTGGTGCAGTGACAGGGAGGTGTCCGAGGTGTCCGTGTCTCCTTCAGCTCCTTCCTGCAGCGCCCCCAAGGCTGTGCCCGTGTCAGGCACTGTCCCCTCTGTGCCTCACAGTGCCTCTCGCTGTCCCCTCCTGTGGCCTTTCTGTGCCTGGCAGCCCTGTGCTCACAGCTCTCCCCGTGTCCAGCTCTGGTTGAGGGCAGAGCCAAAGCAGAGGCAGGAGCCTGTGGGCAGCGTTGGTGGGTGCCCAGCTCTGGGTGAGCTGTGTCTGCAGACAGCACTGAGGGCACACAGGGCCTGCAGGTGCCCTGGCAGCACTTTGTGCCTTCAGGCTGACAGGGGCTGTAGTGAGGTGAGGGTCGGTCTCTTTTCCCAGGGAACAACTGACAAGGGCAAGAGGAAATGGCCTCAGGTTGTTCCAGGGGAGGTTTAGATTGGAAGGGTTCTCAAGCAGCCTGAGGCCAGGGCAAGGGTGGGGTCACCATCCCTGGAGTGCTCAGAGAACACCTGGATGTGGCATCAGTGGTGAATGTGCTGCTGGGCTGGGCTGATGGTTGGACTGGATGATCTTAGAGGTCTTTTCCAGCCTAAACAAGTCTGGGATTCTGGGGTTTCCATATCCAAGAAGCAGCATTGCCCCAACATCTCTGAAGTGTGGGAGTGCAGGAGCCTTGCAGTGGTCAGCAGAGCTGGTGGCACAGGGTGCAGGGACTGGGGACTCAGGCATGGCAGTGGTTTGTCCCTGCTCAGGGAATGTTTCATTTCAGGATGCAGAGAGGCCACTATGGGTCAAATGCTCCCTCAGTTCACATGTTCAGCAGCCCAGGTTGCTTTGTCCTGTCTAATGCAAAGGGCTGATCTCTTCCAGTGGCTGTGCTGCCTCCCCTGGGCCCTTCTCACGAGGGACAGAAGGCAGGGAACGTGCTGCTGGCCTCCAGAAGCAAAATCAGGCACATTCTGGCTCTTGAGTCATTCAGAGGGCTGAGCCCGGAGGCTGGAAGGTAATAAGGAGAGATTATAGCTTCATAAAGCAGCTACACAGTGAGGAGAAGCAATTAGAATGTAAATTGGGTGCTGAAAGGCAGAAATAGAACAGCAGAACACCAGGCAGAGGAATTTGTTCTGTAATTACACTGAACAATATACAGCTTTGACTCCCTTTAGAGTACTTTGTTCAGGTCGAGTGCTGCCATATAATGCCCTTCCTACAATCTAGGCCTGAAAAAACAAAAGGAGGACTAGGCTGAACCTGGATTAAAGGATTGGAGGCATGAAGAAAAATTAAGAACCATGATCTGTGTAGTTCACAGACTGCCTGATAAGGAAGATGAGGCTGAAATGTACAAATCTCATTAATGCCACTCTGAATGCCAGCAGATATTTGTATATAATAAATCCCCTATTATTAGGAAATAGATAAAAGAGTTATGGTGAGGAAATACAGAGGGTTTCTCCCCCTACCCATCCCTCACCAAGACAAGGAGGGCCTGAACCATGAGCAAAGTTATCAGGCAAAGTTATCGAACATTTTGCTTTGCCCACGCACAGATGTTTGGAGTTGAGGACAATGGTGACATTGGCTCAAGAGCAATTAGTGTGGCAGATGCTGGGGGAAAGGTGATGTGTCCCACGTGGTCAATGGTGCCCTCTGAGGCCCCTCGTGCTCTTCAATCTCTGCACACCTGCAAAGTTCAGCCTGTGGCTGCAGCTGGGCCTGGCAGCACTCCCTGGGTGCCCAGCCTGGCCAGGGAGCTCCCCGGGCACACACAGGCCCAGGCAGGGCCAGAGGCTGTCCTGGTCCATGTCCTGTCATTGGGGGACTGCCCAGCCTGTGCCAGTGCAGTGCCCACTGAGCAGCCTGTGCCAGGTGCTGGGCACTCTGCAGTGCCTGCAGTGAAGGGCAGAGCAGCTCACCTGGAGAGGAGCCCAGCCCTGGAGCTCCATCACAGCCCTGCTGCTGTCCCTGCTCCCCCAGGCTGCTGGCACACATGGAGGAGAGCAAGGGCAGCTCTGCCCTGTCCTGTGTGTCCTGCTGCCCCCAGAGCAGCCTGGCAGAGCTGTGGGTGCCTCAAGGCACTGCTCCAGCTCATGTTTCTGTGCCCAGGGCACAGGGCAGGGTCACTGCACTCTGTGCTGCTGTCCCCAGGCTGCAGGGGCTGCCACCTGAGCTGGCAGTCTGCACTCCCTGTAAAATCACTGGAGACTCAGTGACTCCAGGTGAGTTCAGGTGGTTCTCACCATGGTGGTTCTCACTCTAGGAGAGGATCCAGTTCTGCCTGGGTGAATGAGTGGCACCCCTGAGTGTAAAAGGAGCCCTAATGGGCCACCTCAAAGAGAGGTGTGTCTTGACAGGTGTCCAGAATTAGTGTGATGAATCCAGCTGTGATGAGCAAATGGCCTGTTCTCTTTTCCTTGGTTTTATTTCCATCCTTCTGCTCAGCCTGGTCATCAGTCTCTCCGTCTTCCTGCTTCCTCTTCCAGCCCATTTCACTGTGCACTGTTCCTTCACAGCCTGTTTCACAGCACCATTTCATACTGAAGCACACTAAGAACTAGAGAATTTCCTCTGGAGGGTGGGGAGAAATTCTTGGGGCACAGGAGAGGAAAACACTGATACAATACAGACTTGACTGATCTTGCTTGCATTTTCTTGTAAGATCCCATCAGACTGGCAGCCAGAATGTTTAGCCCAGTTACACACACAGAAGTGGGAGCACAAACACAAAGACTTTGGGGGCACTTGGTGTCTGCAGCCTCAGGGTGGGATGGTCTTTGGCCCACACTCCAGAGACTTTGGCTTTGTGTTTGCAGCAGGGAGAGCCCCAGAGGAGATGGGCCCTTGCCTCATGGGGAAGAAACCAGACCTGAAGTTTGCAGTGAGACCCTTGGATCCAGAAGAGCTGAGCACAGCTTGCAAACCAAAGTGCTTCCCAGAGAGAACAGGGCAGCCACCTGCAGTGCAGGAAGAGGCAGGGAGGGGACAGATGGGTCAGTGTCTGTTCCACCTCATTTTGGAATCAAATGAATGGCCCAAGTCAGGCTGAGCTTCCATTGCTCCTGGTCTGCAGCTTCAGCTCCTGAGGAGACATTCCCCAGGGTGTGCTGATGGCATCAACGTCCCTGGTGCACAGGAAGAGATGTGGCAGGATGTGGCACATTTCAGCCACGTTTTGGGGAGTGATAGGTTGTGAGTCCAAAGACACTTTCAAGGTGCCTGAGGGGGCTGTGTGAGCTCACTGAAAGCTGCCTAAAAGCCACAGAGAGTGTAGTGGGTTGTTGTCCCCTTAGTTAGAGGAGCCCTACATAAATGCTGAGCAGTTGAGTGGTTTCCTCTTCTTTGCGCTTTAAGCATTATTTTGTGCTTTTAACCCCTCTCTGTCTCTTGCCTCGCAGCTGACAATGAGAACAACATTGCCTCCAGCCAGCAGCCCAGGTCACCTCTCCCCGTGGTTGAAGAGAAGTGGAAGCCCCAGCTCCAAAGAAATAACGCCAACAACAGTACGTAGCAGCTTCTCACTTTGTCCCTGTCCAACAGGAGCCTCAGGGGAGCAGCAGTGATGGACACTGCACAAAGCCCTTGTCCTCACCAAACTGTATTTGATTTCACCTTAAATCATGTCCTGCTTGGCAGAGCAGAGCACCCTTTCCCACTACAGGAGTGCAACAAAGAACCCTGGAGTGGTTGGAAAGGTTTGTGAGGAAGAAGCATTTGGTAGCTCCTGAAAGAAGGTAACTTCTGATCCAAGGTCAGACTTTCTGGCCTGGAGTTAAAAATTAATCCAGTCATCATGGTGTGACATAGGCACAGGTGCCCAGAGCAGCTGTGCTGCCCCTGCATCCCTGGCAGTGCCCAGGGACAGGTTGGACAGGGCTGGGAGCACCCTGGGACAGTGGGAGGTGTCCCTGCCATGGCAGGGGTGGGACTGGATGGATTTTAATGCCCCTTCCAACCCAAACCAGTCTGGGAATCTGTGATTTGATGTCCATCTTTCCATCTGGGCTGAGCTGTGACCATCCCCTCAGCAGGGACAGGATGCAGATCTCCTCCCTGCTGCTGTGACAGGAGCAGGGCCTGTCTCTGGAGGTTCCTCAGTCCAGAAGCCCTGGGGGAACAAACCCAAGGTTGGAGTTGTCTCTTCCATCATCTGGGCATGTCCCACCTCTCTGGGGGCTCTGACAATTGTTCTGTGCCTTGTGCTCTGTCCTGCCGCGGTGTTGCTGACCTGGCCCTTTCTGTGCCCGCTGTGTTTCCCTGCAGCGCCGGCGAGCGGCTCTCTGGGGAACAGCGCCATCCCGGAGAAGGAGCGGCAGAACATCGCCGAGCGCCTGCTGCGGGTCATGTGCACCGACCTGGGCGCGCTCAGCGTGCTCAGCGGCAAGGAGTTCATCAAGCTGGCGCAGACGCTGGTGGACAGCGGGGCTCGCTACGGTGCCTTCTCCGTCACCGAGATCCTGGGCAACTTCAACACCCTGGCTCTGAAGCACCTGCCTCGGATGTACAACCAGGTGAAGGTGAAAGTCACCTGCGCCCTGGGCAGCAACGCCTGCCTCGGCATCGGGGTCACCTGCCACTCGCAGAGCGTCGGCCCCGACTCCTGCTACATCCTCACCGCCTACCAGGTGGAGGGCAACCACATCAAGAGCTACGTCCTGGGCATTAAGGGCGTGGACCTTCGAGACAACGGTGATTTCATCCACCACTGGGTGCAGAACGTGCTGTCGGAGTTTGTGATGTCGGAGATCAGGACGGTGTACGTGACCGACTGCAAGGTCAACTCCTCGGCGTTCTCCAAGGCGGGCATGTGCCTGCGCTGCTCGGCCTGTGCCTTGAACTCGGTGGTGCAGAGCGTGCTCAACAAGAGAACGCTGCAGGCTCGCAACATGCACGAGGTGATCGAGCTCCTGAATGTCTGTGAAGACCTGGCGGGGTCCACGGGCCTCTCAAAGGAGACCTTTGGCTCCCTGGAAGAGACCTCCCCGCCGCCCTGCTGGAACTCGGTCACCGACTCCCTGCTGCTCGTCCACGAGCGCTACGAGCAGATCTGCGAGTTCTACAGCAGGGCCAAGAAGATGAACCTCATCCAAAACCTGAACAAACACCTGCTCAGCAACCTGGCAGCCATCCTGGCGCCGGTGAAACAGGCTGTGATCGAGCTGAGCAACGAGAGCCGGCCCACGCTGCAGCTGGTGCTGCCCACCTACGTCAAACTGGAGAAACTGTTCACTTCCAAAGCCAACGATGCTGGCGTGGTCAGCAAACTCTGTCACCTCTTCTTGGAGGCGCTGAAGGAGAACTTCAAAGTTCACTCGGCACACAAGGTAGCCATGATCTTGGACCCTCAGCAGAAGCTGCGGCCTGTCCCGCCCTACCAGCACGAAGAGATCATTGGCAAGGTCTGCGAGCTCATCAATGAGGTGAAAGAGTCCTGGGCAGAAGAAGCAGAATTTGAACCTTCAACCAAGAAGCCTCGTGCAGCAGGGGAGGCCACAGCAGCTCAGGAAGAAGATTGGTTTGGGAAAAGTGAAGTCTATGATTATTTGCAAGAACCTCTCTTCCAGGCCACCCCTGACCTGTTTCAGTACTGGTCGTGTGTTACCCAAAAGCATACAAAACTAGCCAAGCTGGCCTTTTGGCTCTTAGCAGTGCCTGCTGTGGGTGCCAGGAGCGAATGTGTAAATATGTGTGAGCAGGCACTCTTGATCAAAAGGAGGCGGCTACTCAGTCCAGAAGACATGAACAAACTCATGTTTTTGAAGTCCAACATGCTTTAAGACTTTAATTAACAAAACTTTAAAACACTGTTCCAAACAAAGAAAAAGAAATTTAAGTTCTAAACACTGTGGACCTCATTATGAATGCCCCTGGAAACCAAGTGCTTTTTTATATATATATAAAAATATAAATATATATAAAATTAAGTTTGAAAGGAAAGCTGAGCACAGGAGAGAGACAGCCCTCTGCCAGGAATGTGCTGCTTTCCATAGATAGTGTGTGGACTTGACAGACTTTCTAATGTTTTCAAGTGGGCAGACGAATGGGAGGCTGATGTTCTAAAGTCTTCAGGCAGCTGAGATCTAAAGTGACTTGAAGTTTCTTTTGTTTCTCCTCCACCCCACCTTTCCTCTTGTCCCCTGGGCCATCTTGCCATGGATAATCAGACTCCATTGACCAGACCAGTTCTGCACTGGACTTTGCTCCTTTGAATAACTGTACACCTTGAGGGCACTTGGCTGCAGCCTTCTTGGCATGGTGCGTGAATCAGGGCAGCTGTGTTCCACCAACACCGGCATCTTTAGAAATCAGGAAGGGAGGCTTTAAGGTTTCTGATTCTTGATTTTATTTTTAACCTTTCCATATCCTTTTTTTTTCCAAAAAACAAAACTTACTCCTCTGTCTCTACTCCCAGTTTTGAGTTTAACATGGCAGCAAGTGATTATAAGTTTGATTTCAAACTAAGAGAAATGGTTCATGGCAGAAACTGTCAGAAGTTGTTACGTTTCTTGGCTTTATATTTTTTTACAGCAGAACTTCTTTTCTGAACTCCTGGTGTTAATTATCTTTTCTGTGAATTTTGTACATCAAGTGTTCTCAGACTTGTTCTAGAGTAGTCCATTTGCAATTAAATGATGTTCTTATGGGAACCTCAGCAGTTGTTTATGTGGCAAAGCCTAGAAACCAAGAAAAGCAAATGGTGACAGCACAGGTGGCTGTGGGCCACCAGTGAGCTTGCCAGGTCTGCCAGAGAACCCTTGTACCTAAAGATTTTTGTTTAGAGGTGTCTCAGTGACACACAAACCACCCTTCCCAAGGCCAAGGACAAACCAAGGTGTATGATTTTTCAGGGGAACAAAGCTCACCAGTTTTGTCAAACTGGGGTTTGAAGGAAGCTTAGAGAAGTGCATGGGCTCAAAGATCCTTCTGAATGTAAGTGCTCCTGATTGAGTGCAAAGAATATCTTCCCCTTTTTGTTTGGAATGGTTTCCTCTAGTGGCACGAATGTCTTTTTGATACCTACAGTGCATTACACTACTTGTTCTGTTGCTGACCTGTTCTGGCCAGGAAGGCCACGGGCCCCGAAACGTTCACACGTAACTGGCTCACCCCAAATGCAATTAGAGATCCCCATAACCCCAAACCATCTGGTCACTCTGCTGTCCCCAAGGCCAGAGCTCCTGCAGGCACAGCTCCTGGGCTGCTGGACAGGCTCTGCCAGCTTTGGTGCCTCTTGGGCAATTCCCAACCTGTGGTGCCAAACTGTGTGTTTTTCACTGCTGGGACTTGTCTCCTGGAGGAAAACTGAAGCAAATTCTTTTTTCAGCAGTCTCTTGGGCTTCCAGGAGCTCTGGAGCTGCGGTCCCAGTGGTGTGGGAGGGTCAGGAGGAGGGACTGGCCCTGCTGAGAGCAGGCTGGAGCCCTTCAGCAGCACGGGGAGTTTGCTGCTGGCTGGCAATGCAGGGGGAAACTGGAGACCCTCTCTGCAGTGCTGCTGTTGAGCAGATGTTAAACCAGGATCCCACCTGCCCAGCTCTGGCTGTAAGAGAAGTTGCAAGTTGCAAGACGTGAGAAATAGCAAACCCAATCTCTCAGGCTTTGTGTGCAGATGCCTTGAACCTCACAGGCACTCCCTGACACTGCACTGCCACAGGACTCAGGGGCACAGTTTGCACACTGGACCCTTCCCCACGCCAGGCTCACGAGGACAGACCTTGGCACCAGCTGTCTTGCCCTTTCCAGCCCTTTCAGCCTTCCATTGCCTTGAGGCTGGTGTTTGGGTTGACCTCTCAGCACTGTTACTGCCATCAGACCAAAACCATTGTCTCCTGAAATGTTAAGTTTTTGCCTAAAGCACACGGCCTGCCACATGAACAGGAGCTGCCAAGGCAGAGGCTCCTGGACTCCTGATTTCCCTGTCAGTGGCTGATGGAGGGGTTGCTGTAGGGCCAGCTTTCCTTCTTGCTGCTTTTGTTTTCTCCTGTACCAATCCTGCATGCCCAGCCAGCAGTGGTAGCACATCAGTTTGCAGGGCAGGAGAAACCTGTGGCAGACAGAAATGAACCCTGAGTGAGTGAGATGTGTGCCAGGCCCACTGGTACCTGACAGCAGGAAAACTTGGCTGGTGCATGTCCCCAGGCAAGATCAGCTGTGGGCACAGAAGGTACCACACAGCTCAGCTGATGGCACAGGGATCAGGATTGGCAGCTCCTTCTCCTAATGGCACGTTACACCTTTTTGTGTGGCTCACCTGAGACCCTGAGAGCTCTTTGGTGCTTAGGGGAACATGCAGAGCCCTTGGATTCCTTTGGAAAGACAGCTCCAGCTCCCAGCCCTCCTTTACTAAGGGACATGTAGATGATTTCTGTGGAATTTGTGAACTCGGGCTCACGTTGTCTGGTGAGAAGTGGGCAGAGTTAGCACAGCTATAAATCCCTGGAGCTGAGTTGGGCAAAGTGCAGGGATTTGTGCCCAGCAGTGGTGCAGACTGAGGGCCTGCATGCAGGAAGGCCACAGCCACCCCTACCTCCCATCCCACCTCCCCTTTCCCTTCTCACACTGTGGGTTTGGCACCAGAGCTGGCGTTTTCTGGTGGTGCTGACCAAAGAGAGGGATGGACTGGCCCTCTCCCCCATCCCAAAAACTGCCCCTCAGGCAACTTCACTTGGAGTTGCACTAATGATGGGTGTTAAGCAGTGATGTCAGGCAGATGAGATTCTCCCAAAGACTTAAAAACTCAACAGCTGCAAAAGCAAGAGAAAACCTAAGGGCCTAAAGTGGAGCCTTCTCAGAGGTGGTGAGGAGAGGGGCTGCTTGGCCCCTTCTCCAGAGACTCAGTGCAGGAAGGTGCAGCTTTTCCTGACTTGCACATGGCTGCAGGGTGCCCAGCTCAGAGGAGCTGCTTGTGCTGGGCCTGCTCCAGGCTCTCTCTGGGTCACTTGGGCCTCAGTAAAAGCAGAGGAGCACATCTGGAGCACATGCAATTACCTTAAATGCCAAGCTTTTGCTCTTCTTCCTTCTTCTAGGCTTGAATTCACATTTTGAGGAGCAAAGGTGCTTTACCAATGTCCGAAATTTGGAAGTTCTCAGTTCCTGCTCTGTGGTGCCCCAGAGGTGAGGAGCAGCCAGGGTGTTGTAGGGAGCTCTGCTGGTCCTGGGCTGGGAGACTGCTCAGGAGAGGCTCTGAGTTTGGCCAGGGCTGTTGTGAAGTTCTGCTCCCTTTGAGCTGGGAGGAGAAGTCCTCAGAACTGGGATCATCCTCTGGTTGGTCATGTTGAGAACTTGCCTTCTGCTTGTTGGTTTTCTTTAATCTCCCTTGTGAAAAGTGTCAGGGTGCAGGAATGGTGTGTGGCCTCCAGGCATCCACCTGTTCCTGCTGCTGACTGTGCCTGACCTTGCAGACTCTTCCTGGCTTCACAGTTTGCTTTGGGATCGTTCTGACCTTCAGGTGGGGAACAAGCACCACCAGGTGAGCCCCAAGAGGGAAGGGCCTGTCTGAACATCCTTGTTAGCGAAGAGGGAGGGACAGAGGCAGAGCTCTTGAGGAGGTTGTTCTGTGTGGAGCAGCAGCCAGGAGGTCAGGAAGGAGCTCTCCTGCCTCTCAGTAGGCAGTGGTTGTGTTTGGCCTGCAGGATGGGCTTGCTGTCCTGCACCTGGGTTGAGCTGAGATGGAGGTGAACTTCCCCTTCTGCCCAAGCTCTCTGTCTGTGCTGAGGAAACTGCTGTGGGTGGGTTTGAACTGGTGCAATCTGTAAAACTTTCTGTGACAGCTGACTGTGGGATCAGGTTTTGTCTAACTCAGTTGTTCCTTCATTGCTGGTTAAGCCAGTTTAACTTGAGCTGGACTGGTTTAAGTGTCCAAACCACCTGCACTGGTTTATCTGTGCTTGCTGGGCAGACAGGATGTCCAGCAGCAGCTCAGGGAGTCATGACCTTTATGTGACTTTTGCAAATGAATTTGCAGCAGATGCTCTCAGAACCTGGCAATGGCTGAAAATAGAGGGGAGACACTTCTGGAAATGACTTGAGCTCTAAATGGTGGCATTGGAGTGTCCAGTGAGATGACTCAGGTGGGTTGGGTGGTTTTTCTCCAACTGTCTGCAATAACCCAGAAGGTTTAGCATGGGAAGGAATTACCAAATATGTTTGTGTTGGTGGTTGAGTCTGCTCAGAGGAACCAGTTCCACTCTGGCCATGGTGAGCACAGGACAGGGGACTGGAACCTCCTGCTGCTCCCACAGTGCCCTGGGCATTTCCAGGCAGCACCATGTTACTGGTGAATCAAAATGCATTAAAAGAGCAGCCAGGAAGGTGCTCCAAGGCTGGGAGTGCTCTCTGTGCTGAGGAGAAGCTTGGATTTCTGGTGGCACCTCTTGGCTGAGGGAGAGGCAGGGGCTCCTGTGAGTATTCACATAGGGAGGGACAAGCTGTTCCCTGTGGAGTAATTAGGAGTAATGGGAAAATAAAAAGATACTGAAGGCAGATTCTGGGAAATCTCTTCAGGGAGGAGAGCTCTGTTCCTCTGGGAGGGGTCTGTCAGGGGAAGGGGTTTTGAGCCCTGTTGCTGAAGACGAGGCTGCAGAGTGGAGCTCGCTCCGTAAACACTTGGCTGGACCTTGCCAAGAGAAAAGGAGCTGGGTGTAGGGGTGGGAAGTGCCAGGTTCCTGCCCAGAGCCCTCCTGGAGGGTTTACAGAGCCTTTTCCTCCCCATCCTCCCACTCATCACCAGCAGCAAGGCCTTGCCAGCTCTCAGTGCCTCCCTCAGCCAGTTCCTGCAGGGAGGGAGGCGGCAGAGGGGAAGCTGCCAGTGGAGGAGCAAATGTCCTGTGGGATCAGTGTGGGGAGGGTGTTCAGTGTCTGCTGCTCCTGCTGAGCTTCCTCTGCTGCTCCATGGCCTGGGATCCCCTGGGAATGCCCAGAGCCTCCAGCTGAGCCCTGTGCCCTGTCAGACCTGACGCTGTCGCTCTGTAGCAATAAGAACTCCCTGTGGGTGGGACCTGTCCCCTCACTGCTCTGTCACCTCCTGGCGCTTCTGGAAGTGTCCCTGAGCAAACCCTGAGGCCAGCTGAGCTCCTGGGACAGTCTGCTTATGCTAGGCCAGAAATGGTGAACCAATGACAGTGGGTTGCCCTGAAATTTAATTGTATCTATTGAATGTTTGTGGGATTTCTGTTTAATTTCAGGTTTAGTTTGGCTGCTTAGTTGAGGTTTTTTCCTGTTCTGAGTCCTTTGTAACTCGACAGGAGAGTTTTGCTCACATAGACAAAGGTGTATCCATAGATCCTGAGGGGTTCTTTATCCATAGGCAGCTGAGTTGGGATTTTTGGCTCCTGAAACAAGGAATGATGACTGGCAGGATTTTATGTAGCATCCCTGACAGTGGGACCCAGATGAGCAACTCAGGCTTAATGATGGGAATATTGTAGGAATATTGTTGATGACACGTCCAGCCCTTGCTTTTTACAACCAAAGCTCCTTAAAAAGGCACTTCCAGCCTCACTGGCCTCAAATCCTTGTTCTCACCTCCCAGGGTGGCAGTTCCTGCAGTGTCTGTGGATAGGCTGGGATTGTTTCTTCAGTGGGCTGGGGGTGTGGGAGAAGGGATAACTTTTCCCCTTGCTGTGTAGAAGGACCTTCCCCCTCAAGGAAGGAGATGTGTTCTGGAAGGAGCAGCAGATTTAGGAGCTGTTTTCCATGGTCCCTTGAAGCTTGCTGGTACTTTAATACTCCTTTTTGTGAATTGTTTGAAGGAAAGCTGGTAGTGGATGACCTGCCCAGCGGTGGCAGGCGGCAGCCCAGGCTGTCGGTGGGGGGACACTCTGCCCAGGCCGTGAGGACTGTGGTCCACGCCGTAGCCAGACAGTGTCATGGTGACAGCCAACCATCAGGAGATCCTTGTTTGCAGCCAGTCTGAAAAGAGAAGCTGTTCCTCACTCATGAGTTCCATTTCCCAAACCTCCTCCTGGGAGCTGAACTCGTTGCATCAAGCAAAGGATTTAATGTTCTCCTGCCCCTCCTGGCCCTCCCTGCCCTCAGTAACTCGTGTGCATTTCCTTCCTTTCTGTAGATGCAGATGTTCTAGGCAATACCACAGAGCACCCGCGCTGCGAGTGCGACCATGTCATCTTAAAAAATACAAAAAAAAATATACAAAAAATATACAAAAAATATCTTTTTTAGGCCAGAGTTTTCTACAGGTATTAATGAATATTTTTCTTAATCCTTATAAGTTTTATGTGTTTAATATTTCTTAATACCGGTAGCATTAATTTATACTTTTGTAGCAACACAATATTTTTATAAACCGCCACCGCTGGCTTTGTCTTCATAACGGGAAACGTGCGGGCAGCTGGCCCCGCGCTGTACCATGTACTGTATTTAAAAGGTTATCTAATGTCACACTTGCTGTGTTAATAAACAAAACAAAACCTGTTTGAAGTCTCATGTATTGTTGGTGTGGATCAAATGACTCACTAGAGAGCAATATTGCACGGGGTTGAGTTGCTGATTTTCATTGTGATATGCGAACGCTTGAGGCCAACTCAAGTTCTGAGGTTTTTTTTTTCTTTTTAGGATTTTGTTTTGTTTTTGTTTTGTTTTGGGTTTTTTTTTTCAGCTAAATAAATTCAGTGCTGTTTGAAACTTAGACTGACGTCAAATGAAAAGGATTATTAAAGAAAAAAAATATCAAGGTGTTTAAATGTTGCTGTTTTTACAAGTCTGTTGCTGTCTGAATGGAAATATTCCACGAGAGGAGGAATAGTTCCACTTAGCTTCCAAAGGGGCCGAGCTCCAGGCCAGAGTTCGGTTATTTGGAAATACCTTAGAGACATGTTTCTGCAACATTCTTTTCAGAATTGATGCCAAGGCAGAAGACAAACTGTAACTGTAAGAAAGCATCCGTTGCTTGAGGATTTTCATGTCAGTGTTGTATTTATGGTTTTACAATAAAACAACCTTTAGGGAAAAAAAAAAAAAAAGTGTCTGGGCTTTTCTGTATTTCCTGTATCTCAGCCTTGTGACTGGGACATCCCCAGTGCCTTTGTGAGGGGGGGAAACATCCATGGAAGTGACCTGATCCCAGCAGGGGTGTCTGATGGATCCCACAGAATCATGGAATGGTTTGGGTTGGAGGGGACATCCAGTGCCACTCCTGCCACTGTCCCAGGCTGCTCCCAGCCCTGTCCAGCCTGGCCTTGGGCACTGCCAGGGATCCAGGGGCAGCCACAGCCTCCCAGGGAACAATTCCTAATTCCCAATATCCCATCCATCCCTGCCCTCAACCATATGAACTGGGCAGCAGGACAGCTCCACATCCCACATCCCTGGGGCACTCAGATCCCCCCAGAGCATTTCCTAGAGCATCCTGTGCCCACACTCAGTTGCCAGGGCTATGAACTGCTCCTGTCTCTGTTTTTGTGCAGCACAGAGGTCCCCAGCTGTCCCTTGGGGTTGGGGTTCCCCCACCAGGAGGTGCAGCCCAGCTCAGGGTGTTTGTGCCAGCAGCCTCAATGCCAGCACCAGGTTCTGCTCAGGGATCCCACCTGTGCCAGCAGCTCCAGCTGGGATTGGTTTCTCCTGGGGGAAGGGGCTTTGGGGGCTGGGTGGGCACTGGGCTCCTCCCATGGCAGTGCCCATGGTGAGGGCCCAAAGGGGCACCAGGGACTGGTGTCACAGGGATGTGCTGCTGAGGGGACACTGACAGCTGGGACTGGGACCTGCTGGTGCTCTCTGGAGCTCCAACCCACCTCCAAACCAACCAGAGACCACCAGAAATTGTCCCAAGGGAAACAAGCACAGAGACCAGGATGAGGCCAGGCCTCACACTGGAAAATCCCATTTTCCATCACCCTCCATGTGTCCTTTTCTTTGGCCTGCTTTGATGTCCTTTGGAGTTTTCTAACCTTGCACCCACCCTTCACTCACAAGTAAAAAAAAAAAATCAGAAAAACTTTGCTGGAGAATTAGTGAATTTGTAGTGAATTTGTGCCTTGGGAAAAAGCAAAAGCCAAAGACATGGAATGACAATGGGTCTGGCCATTGGATAAACTCTTGTCTAGTGGTAAAATGTGAAGATAAACCAAAATAAGAAACAGAGCTATCAGTATCTGATGGTGAGAATGGCTGAGACTTTGCTGGGGATTTGCTGTAGCAGAGGTTTCAGTGAACAGATCAGATGCCCTCAGGTGCTACTAGATAAGAGTTGGGATTTGTTTGAAGATCTAAATGTGTAAAGTGGATAATTTAAAGCCAACAGGCCCAGAAGATGGGATCCCTGGCATGCCAGCAGCTCCCAGCACTCAACTGTTCCTTTTGCTGGAGCCATTTAAAAGGATAAATAAGATTGCTAATGGGAGTGGAAGAGGCTTAAGCTAATCCTGCTGTGTTTCCTAACTCCCTGATTTCTACCCTAACAGGAGAAAACTCCTTTAGCTTTAGCAATAAAGGAACTGGTAGCTCTGAGTTCAGGCTCTGCTCGAGGTACCCAGAGTTTTCTCTGATGGAAGTTTGCTCATCCCGAGGTGCTGTGTGGGACCAGGGTGGGAAGCAGCAGCGAGCAGCAGCCCGGGTGTGTTTGTGGCTCTGGGCTTGGGGTGGCCCCTGTGCCCCTGGAGTTTGGGTGAGCAGCGCCCCCCGAGCCACCCCCACCAGGGAACAGCTCTGCCCTGGAGCTGCCTCTGCTCTTTCGCCATCACCATCTCTGCCAAGGAAGGCGCTGGGGGCTTAGGGGGCCTCGCTGCTCCCGGGATGGGCAGGGCAGGCTCAGCCAGGAGTCAGATCCCTGGGCAAGCTCATGGAGATTTTCATGAGGGGCAGTGTAAGAGCCTGAATGAGAGATGCAGGACACCAGGCAGCTCTCCAAAATGCAGTTTATTGTATCCAAAATGCAGTTTATTGTATCCAAAATGCAGTTTATTGTATCCAAAATGCAGTTTATTGTATACAAAATGCAGTTTATTCCATCCAAGTTGTTACAGCAGTCCAGGGTGGGTGACAGAGCTGTGCCACAGCTGTCAGCTCCAGCTGCAGGCAGGCCTGGAGACCCTTTGGTTTTGGTTACAGTGCATTATAGACTTTTCTTTGCTCAGCATCTGAATACAGTAGAACCAGTCTATACCTTAACTATTACCTATAGCCTATCATAACTACTGTAATTACCATATTCATGTTACTGTTCTCCAATCACTCAAAGTTAGTACATTACAGATTAAGCTAGAAGTTGTTTTTCAGTTTTCTTGCAGTGGAAAATTCCGAGAACTTTTTTCTACTTGCTACATCAGCAGGCTTGTTTCTCTGTGCTTTCTGCTTGGTAAAAACATCTTCTTGTTTGAGGTGGATTTATCCTTTGCTCTAAGCCATAAAAACCCCTGCTAACTAACATACCCCTTGCCTCCTTGGTTCTTTTCTTCTATATCAATATTTGCTGTCATTTCTATTCCTTCTTCAGATTCTACATTTAAAAATCTTTCTGCCAAGCATACATATCTGTGAGACTTTCTTGTCAAACTTTCATCCCTCCCAACCAGGCAGGGCTGAGGTCCTGAGGGAATCAATCTGCAGCTCAGAGCCCGGATTTGGAGAGGGGATGCAGGGTCAGACAGAGCCCAGCAGCTCCGTGGGGATGGGGCAGGGGAGCTGCAGCTGGGCGGGCAGGCAGAGCCCAGGGCAGCCAGGGGAGCAGCATCACTCAGGACAGCGCTGAGGGCCAGAGCTGAGCTGGGGCTGCAGGAGGGGGGAATGCCCCAGGTGAGGCTGGGCAGGGCCAGAGCTCTGGGTCCCTGAGAGGCTGAGCTGTGAGCTGGGCAATGCTCCTGCTGCAAGCTCCTGCTCCCCTGTCAAGTTCCTCCTCTGGCTCCTCAGGACGGAGAGCACGGACCAGTTCCAGGATCCCTTCTCATGGCAAGAACACCCCACAAAACAGTGAAGAAAAACAAACAGGGAATGAGAATCATTTTAAAGGACATTTAATAGTGAAATATTGACAGAACAGACTGGTGTGAAGTGGTTTGCACTGGAAAATAAACATGAAATAAAAAATTACTAAGCCATCAATCTCCCAGATTCTCACAGGTCCTCTGCACACTTCTAGAGCTGCATCTCCTGTGCTTTTGTGTCTTCTAATAATTCTGTTCCTCCCTCTCCCCCGCTGGGATGCAGTCAGGCAGGTGCTGCCTCTGCATTTGGATTTAGGGTTTTTTTGTCTGGGAATTTTGCAGCCAGAAGTGCCTGCTCAGCACCAAGCACAGACAAATCTCCCAAGGACCTCCAGCATCACCCACTTCCAAACCTGCTGGAGCCTCCCATTGCTCTCCTGGAGGAGCCCCTGCCCGTGGCTGCCCCTGCTCCCCCAGGGCCGTGGCCAAGCTCCCTCCTGTCTGGTGCCACAAAGAGGTCGCAGATTCATTTCCAGAGAGGTGATGGAGGCAGCAGTTGTTCACTCTCCGTGGCACATTTGTCAGCCTGGGATGTGGCTATGAAGATGAACAGCCAAAAAGCTGCACATTTCCCCTGGGGTGATCGATGAGCTGAGAGCTCCTGAGGCTGAGTGCTGCAGCTCTAGGAAAGCTGGTTTTAAATTGCACGGGTTGTAAGTCACAGCAAATGAACAGATTCTTTTTAAGTACCCAGAACATCTGTTCTCCTCGAGGAGAGAAAATCTGTGTTGGAGGAACAAGTGCTGTGTGCTCGGTGTGAGGCACAGGGGTGCTCCTGGGTCAGAGCTGTGCCAGCAGCACTGGGGACACTGCTGGGACTGGGTGAACTGGGGGGAAACGGCTCTGAATGAGTTAATTAGGGGAAATGGCTCTGAATGAGTTAACTGGGGGAAATGGCCCTGAATGAGTTAATTAGGGGAAATGGCCCTGAATGAGTTAACTGGGGGAAAAGGTTCTGAATGACTTAATTAGGGGAAATGGCCCTGAATGGGTGAACTGGGGGAATGGCTCTGAATGAGTTAATTAGGGGAAATGGCTCTGAACGAGTTAATTAGGGGAAATAGCCCTGAATGGGTTAAGTGGGGGAAATGTCCCTGAGCTGTCCTGCAGGAGAGCACCCAGGCGTGGATGGTGGATGTCGGATGTGCTCCAGCAGAAGGAAGCCCCCAGGTTGCTCACTGAGAGCTCTGTTTGCCCAAGGGACACTCAAACACCCCTCCTGGTGCTCTGGCACTGCTGGGCACTGCCCACATGAGGAGGGACCCCCCATGCAGTGGTACCAGAGCAGAGCAGCCCATTCACCCCCAGATGGCCAAGGGCAGGGGAACCCGTGAAAAGAGGCAGCTCCAAGGGTGGCACTGGCACCAAGGGTCACCTCATCTTCAAGAGTCAGCCCATCCTGTGTAGCCATGATATTTTCTGTAAAATCCTTTCCTTAGGATTTTTTCTCCTGAGAAGCTGGGAGGCCTCAGGAACAAAATGCAAACAATGGTTATCTGCTGCTGTGGAATGCAACAGGTGCATCTGTGATTGGTCTCATGTGGTTGTTTCTAATTAATGGCCAATCACAGTCAGCTGTCTGGACTATCTCAGTCACAAACCTTTGTTATAATTCCTTTTCTATTCTTAGCTAGCCTTCTGATGAAGTCCTTTCTTCTTTTAGTATAGTTTTAATATAATATATATCATAAAATAATAAATCAAGCCTTCTGAAACATGGAGTCAACATTCTCGTCTCTTCCCTCATCCTAAGACCACTGCAAACACCACTACAATCCTGAACCATCCTTGTGGGAGAGATCCCTCTGGCACAAACACGTGGTGGCACTTTTCCAGCTTTCAGAGTGCTGAAGGACAACAGCAGCTACAAAGGGCACAGCAGAGTTTGTTCCAATCGGATTTATTTCAATCAGGTGTTTTGCATGAGTTTTGTGTGGCTTGGTTGCCCTGCTGCCTCTTTAACCTTCAAACAGCTGAACGCTGCTGCATCGATGGATCCTCCTCCATGTTCAATGAGCTAAAAGGAGGTGCTTTTAGTTCTAGAT